TTTCATATTTGGTATCCTTTCGACCGTGAAAACCCCTCTACCGTATATACATTAAGCAGTCCGTTGATACGGTAAGTCAAACTTTGTAACGTTTATATTTATACGAATTCTTGTTTTAAGATAATCTAGGTGTTTTAAGCTGATAGGAATGTGGGGTGGAAGAGAAGCTAATGTATAATATTGACCAGGAGTATCTCGTGCAATCGTAGATCTCAACATAAACCAGTCTCCTCCATATTATTGGTATATGTAAATTCGGGAACTCGCTCACACAACAGCAATTTTACGTTTTAATGGCATTATGGGAGTTGTCATACAGACAAGCTATTATCAAAAACTGGTTTAGTTATAAAATATACTCTTTAAAAAAAGTAGGGATATTAAGAAACCATACAAAACTGCGGAAATACACTGCTGTTTTTATTAGAGGTAACCAGTGTGTGTTAATAACAGGCCAGTTGCCTACACATGAACATAAACAGTTAATATGGGCGACTTATCTGACGGCCCCATTTCACTCGCAAAGAAATGCACCGTCAAAAGTGAAAATGGACGGTGTTGATTTTTGTCTTAATAATGAGTAATTTCTCCACCAATCCTCAGACATTCGGCAATTCGTCGTGGCATGCTCCTAATCAACCGTCCAATCACGATTTGAGGCAATCTGACCCACTCCTCTTGCAGTGCCACGGCCAATTCTTGAAGTGTTGTCGGTTGACGTTGACGTCGACGAACACGTCTCCCGATCAAATTAAACGTAACACACTAAAGCAAGGATAGGCTAAACAGTAAATCTTATGCAAGAAGCGATAGGAAAGCAAACATGGATAGATAAACCAGCACGCGGCAGTTTTCATCAAGTCTTCCTTGAACTGTCAAATTTTACAATGAACCCCTCCCACGTGTATGGCGCTATTTCTTGTCGCATGCGCAGCTCAGTTGTTCTGTCGGGGTGATAAGTTCTTCATCTGTGAACATACTCTCAAAGCATGTCAAATGTCCATGACTATTTATCATATCGCAACCTGCATAGGTATTTGCATTTCAATATCCCCTACTTTTTTTGAAGAGTATATTTCATAATTAGTCCTACTGACTGCAACAATTAGGAATGATTCACTGCGAGACCAATATGGACACATACTTAATATTACAGCTACAGAGTTGAAAATACTAAGTAAATTTACACTCATTACTCATCTTAGTGGTGTCAACTGATGAGTGTTACACTCAAAACAGTTTGCAGTTAAGTATGACTGTATTACATGAAAGTAAAGATTTTGATAATTTATAAGTTGATTACTACACACAAGCTGGGGTATTGGAAGCAGTTCGTGTTAAAATTTAAATTTAGACAATATTGTCAATTAGTTAGATACATTATGGAAGATTAGATAAAGAGCTGGCAGTTCTCACTATAATAGTAAAAAAAAACCCAACTAGATAATGTAAAGGGAATATGTTGAAAATTTCAGTCAAATTGGTTAATCAAAGGGCTTTAAACAGCAGATCGGATTAAATCCAATGAAAATCCAATTGCACCGAAAGTTGATTATGATCTGGATAAGTTAATTAATGTGTAATTAATAATTTAGATAACATTTCAGGCCGAAAGCAAGACCTGCAATAGGCAGATTTAGCTCTTGCATAATATATGTTTAATAAATCAGATATAAAGGCAACCAAATGCAACCAAGTTTTTTTTAATACGATGACAAGTCCCTAGAATAGTAGAAAGCTATTGAAGAAGTAGTTATTTTACCCGACATGCGCCTTAAGCAATATAACGTTTTCACAACCTTTTAAAATAGCTCTGTTTAATATAGAATAATCAAATTATGAAAATAGGCCAACACCAAATAAAAGTGTGTGAATAAAAGATTTTGTTCTTTCCAGCCTAGAGTTGGAAAGGATAAGGCATATTTTATAAGGCAGTATTTGATCATGCACATGGCATGTATAGGGTTGAAGTTTATATACGATTCATAGCATTCAAAGCATTAATTGTGACATTATATATGTCTATATTATTCTCTCGCACTTTGAATGCCCATTTCATCCCACCATCTGATGGTAAAGCACACGACCGTGACACTTTTCCCATAAAAGTGTTGTTTTACATTTTTTTTTATGTAGCTGGATCCGCCCTGGTATGGTATGTAATAATGTAGCACCATAGGTCTTTTGTCTGACGTGGAGAGCGGACGTTGTCAAACCGGTCGCCACATCCTACAAACGAACCATGCATCTTTTCTTACTACATATTTCTGTAGCCTTGCGATCGTCTAGAATGTGTCTCTAGCTGTCTTTACTTCTGCTTCACGTTGTGTATTTACTTCTTACAGTTTCTTAAGACGTTTGTCTTACCAGGAATAACAATGCAACAGTTCGCTTCTACATTTTATATAGCATAGCCGAATACATGTATACAAGCACAGATTACAATACTAGCTAAAATAATTTCTCCACCCTAGCCAGCCTCGCGGCTGTCTAGGTAAGGTTTTCGTTGTTCACCCGAGTCACTCGAGTCGACACCAGACCGTTCGCCTTTTGAATCGAGTTGGTCACATGACTGACTCGAGTCGCATCACGTGACTAACCCGTTTACTCCCCGTTGAGCGGAGAGTAAAAGGGTTTGTCACGTGACAAAATTGCGTCCTTTACGCAAAAAAGCCTGTCTCTCGATTACATACTGACGTCGTAGCTGTTTTGATGTCATGTGACTACTCGGACCGTTCGGGATGTTTCACCCGGGTAAACTCGGCAATGGAGTCGACTCGAGTGACGCGAGTAAACGACGAAAACCTTACCCTAGGAACTCAGATGGAACCTCTCTGGAATCTAATGGAAGTCTAACTTAAAACTTTACTATGATTTCTTTTATAAAACTCCCGCATATCACGCACAGAAAGTCTGTTCATGGCCCTGAACATGTGCAATTAACGATATGATTGGTTACTTTAAGCCAAATGATGCAATTAGAATAATTCCATGCACGTGATATCTGGTGGTATTTTATTGACACATGTTTTGGCTAAATAGCTCCTTTTATGTGTCAACTGTCAATTACAGACTAAGTTGATTTAGTACACACTATATATAATATATATGTGAATATGTCTATAAATTTAAAAACAATGTCGTAACGACTATATTGTTACAATAAATAAAGCGCCTTTAGCCCGACCCAGTATAAGACATTCGCCTAGTATGACAAATTTAATATTCAAATTTAAACACCTTTGTAAATATACAGGGGACACAAATGTTGATGCGTGTAATTCACATGTATAAACTTCGTTATATAATGTGGTGTATTCATTTATGCACGCATCTAAATTATGTGCAATCAGTACAATGCAAACCTACTTTATTTTGTATAATATGGTTAATTCATTCATGCACGTCATCTAAATTATGTGCAATCAGCACAGAGCAACTTGTAAGTTTATTTTGTATAATGTGTTTTTTCAATTATACACGTCATCAGTACAAATTAAATTGTAACTTTATTTTGTATAATGTGGTTTATTCATTTATACAGGCCATCTAAATTATGTGCAATCAAAAGACTATAATGTAAACTTACAACTTTATGTTGTAGTTTATTCATTTATGCACGTCATATAAATTATGTGCAATCAGTACAAAGTAAACTTGTAACTTTATATTGTATAATGTAGTTTATTCAATTGTTACGATTTTGTTTATTATCGTAACAATGGTACTTGACAATTGAGACTTTTATTGTGAACACTTTAAACTCTGACAGCTTCGCACAGAAACGAGTAATTTGACAGAATATTTCAATAATAATATATTCATTTTACATTATCTATTTTGAACTGCTAAAACGACCAGTTTTTTTTATCTAAATCATACACACTACACCTTTAAGTGTAACACGCTCAGATTTTCTCGATTCTATATACAGACATTTTTTTAATAAGCACAGGCGCCTCTCTCAAAATAACATAATAATGAGGCTAAATAGCTTATTATGTATAAAGTCGTAGTGTGTGTAGCTCATCCAAAACCTCTACAAAGTTATAACCCCTCGCAAATGGCAAAAAATCATGCGGTTTCAATGCGGTTTTCAACATCATAATCATAATCATAACGCTCAACCAGTGTCAAACATACCGTGGGTCAGATATGCTACAAATCGACTTTATCATGTTCCACACAGCCCGATATTACCCGGTGGCACTGGGAGGGACTGCCACCCTGGGCGGGATCTTGTTCCTCGTGCAAAATCATGGGTCACTCCTCCCCTGCAACAAGAATAGGATACTAGTAATATGCTTTTCTTTTGCTTTCATAAACTTCCATAAACTCACCGTGCCTGCGATCGTTTAAATCTGCAAAGTTTCGAATAAAATGAAATGAAATGGGGTTTAAGTCCTACTGCTGTATCCCGTCTGAGCTAATGAAGACGGGCATACGGCATACAGTTTCCTATGGGGCCAACTCTTATATCGAAATCCAACTGCCAGGGGATCTTTTAAGTGGACGCCAATGTGAAAACGGGACCTCGGTTCGTACCTTCCGAGCGATCATATTTTCTCCCTTGTCAGGCCCTCTGTCCTGCACCACCGACAAAGAGGAACCTCCAGGTTAGCGATCAAAGCCAACGTCTTATTCACCGAGCCATTCGAATTAAAATAGCTTCGATACCAGCCGAAGAAAGTGGCCAGTGGACGATTAATTAATAATTAATTCATAATTCTTCTTGACCCGACTTGATGGAGAACTTTCAGCCCGCTTCAACAAAATGTGATATTGCAGACAAGATAATTATTCTCACGACTTACTCTTTAAATAACATATCTTTTACTTGCTCCGTTATAACAGGTCACGTTAACACTATCATAATAAAGACATCCATGACTACAAGTATATAAATGTATTACGACTTTGATAAAAGTACATGTATATATGTGTGTATAGGTCAAAGATAGAAGTGTTTTCAACCGGAATATATACTTTATTTGGGCTCAGCGTCCTACGGGCATACGCCATGTATTGATGTAGTGTGCTGCAAGGCGAATTGGACGCGGACAGCGGCGTTACGGCCTGATCCTGTTTCAACTATTTGTTAGGGGATCTTTAACGGCAATTTTGTTTATCGTCCTACTTGAACAAACGGACAGAAGCCTTTCCTTGTCAGACCCTTCCGTCCTTGCCCCAATGGAAAGGGGAACCAGCCTGGATGGTCATGCGCGATGTGTTACTGTATATTGAGACAAAAGATTAGGTTGTTTTCTAGATCATTTTTGTTCAGTACATTAATATTTTTTAATAAACATCGTCGACACGATTGTCTAATCGGTGAAAACTATTGGGTCGTGAACTTTTCTTGGCAGCGTGTTTGTTGCCTTCTATGCAATAACTATTGATAGTAGTTTCAGACGCGTTATTTGATCCCAAATTTAATAATCTTGCGTACGAACATGCATGTAATAGACGTTATCCTCGGTTTGATGTTATTTTTGAAAGAGATTTTAAATGTAACTGGCGGCTGTGGGTTACCATGCATAGGTATAAAGGAATATATTGATAAATCTTTTGATTTTGTTTGAGATGCCACGGAGAAACCACATTTACCCACAGTGTCAGTCCCATTATCCAAATTATAAAATAATTTAAAAATTAGATATTTTTCTCGGTGTTTTGAATTTGTTGAATAGACCGATAATGTAGACTTGTGACCAAAAAAAATTAAAGGAACAATCTATTGTAGTAAACTGACAATAGATAATGTTAAGAACGCCGTTATGTGATTGGTATGTAAAGAGCGGCGTGCTGTAAACAAAACAATAAAAGAACTGTCAACATATATTATGCTGTACGGTTATATAACAAAACAGTACTCAATACAATAACGTAGCTATAATAGACCAAACAACATTATAATTACAATAAGCACAGAGCAAATGTATGAAACGACCCATTATTTCGGTTCCACTAAAATTGCCAACGAATGCCACAGAAGACGGGTGGAAACTGGTGCGCTTGTTTCGCTTAATTTTCGTTTCTCTCCCTGCAGTCAACATTCGGACTAGTCATAATTTTTAGTTTTAAACTATTCTATTTCAGCATAAAAGATATCTTTGGTTTCTAACAAGAAGAAAACTTAAGATGGATGATTACAGTATAATTACTGGTAAAAGGAAAACCTTTGGTGTGGTGGATTATGTCCTGTTTTCAATTATACTAATCATCTCAGCAGCAATTGGATTCTTCTTCGCAGTCAAGTAAAGTATAATTACAAATCATAAAATACTGCACTTCATGACCGTTTCACTTGTTTGTTATTATGTAAAGAATATGAAATTGTAACCACTAATGGACTAATTCAAAATGGTTATTGGAAGAATCGTAGCTGAGAATCAGATGTATCCACAATGTTCGATAAAGTAAATCTAAGTTGCGTATGCATTTATTTTGAAATGAAATGGGATTTAACGTCCTACATGTTTGCACCAACAAGGAAAATGAACACGGGTATGTTATGCTATGTATTGCGCTATCGGGGATATTTTGCCCGGACAGTGGCAACTGTTTTCCTTTACGTACACGCCAGTTTGCACACGGGACCTCGTGCCACCACAACAACTAGACACTGTTCCTTGCTAGGTCACCGTCCTCCACCAATGGGACCTCGGTTTTTCGTTTAATACGAACGACTAGACGCTGTTTGGTGCTAGATCCTTTGTAAAGCTCGACTGACAATTGGAAGTCACACACGAGAATAAAAGTAACGATGATGTACCCCCACAGTTGATTGGACATAGTTTAATATTCCATAGTATTTATTTCATTTTCCATATTCAGGGATCGAAAGAAGGATAGCAGCTCTAACTTTTTACTGGCTGGTCGCAAAATGAGTGTTTTCCCTGTTGCTATGTCACTTCTGGTAACATTTCTCTCAGCTTTAACCTTATTAGGAAATCCAGTAGAAATCTACAACTATAACACTATGTTTTGGTATTTGTGCTTGGCAATGGTGCTAGCAATCGCTGCCGCATCATTCATTTTTATACCTTTCTTCTACGAACTGGGTATAACAAGTGCTTTCGAGGTAAATTAATAATGTTTACAATATTTGTACCTAATAAATACATTCCAATTCTGAGAAATTATATAAAACTGCTACTCACTCACAGAAAAATCCATCCGTTATCCAGATGGGTTGTGAATGTGCCATGTTTTCTATAAAAGTAAATGTGGATGATTTTGCTATTATACACTTTTATGTTTCAGTATTTAGAATTGAGATTTTCCAAGCATGTTCGTATACTTGGCTGCCTTCTGTATATTTTTCAGACGGTAAGTTGTAAGAATTGAGTTGACAAGAATTGGGAAAACAGTGCTATAATTACTGAATGAAGCGAACGAGTCATTCATAATTATTATTTAGATTTCAAATGAACAGAGGCGGCTATAGTATTGACCCCTGTAGAACCTCCCCACCTACAGCTATTTTATTAAAAACGCCATTAAGAGGATATAAACGTACAGGTATATTAAAACTGAGTAAATTAACGGCAGATCCGGTTTTGATTAATATAGACGGTCACATTTTAAAAAGGGGCAGAGCCAGCGAGTCAAAATAACTTAGGGCTTTTTTATATAGATTTTTGGAAATCAAAACGTAGCTAAAACGACTATACTTTTAATTTGTAATCTGAGATTACATCACTTCACATCACTTCGCTTTTTTTTTATTTAGATGATGTATGTGTCTTTTGTACTGTACGCACCGGCATTAGCACTCACAGCAGGTAATGCACCAATAACTTATATTTTTTTTTTCATTTTTGTAGAATGTATGATTGTTATTACTTTGGATTCATTTGGGGAATTCGTTAGCGATAAACTATAATAGCATTAATAGCGTTTTGTGATAGTTTTTATGTAGTACCATTAACATGTGGAGTAAATGTATTTGTTTTAGTAACTGGAATCAATCTGTGGGCATCTATTGTTGGTATCATGTTAATAGTAACAGCTTATACAGCCATGGTGAGTTATTCACATTATATTCATGGCTCGATCTATGTTTTTTTCTGTTTAGAGCCAGAGGTGACAACAAGTCGTTGGATGTCCGAGTTGAGTCTCGAATCGCTGCACTTCGAGTCTTTATAGTACCAAGTCGTGTAGAGTTCAAAGATTTCACAAAACCTAAGTCCCCTTCTTGTCGAATAAGGCAAGTTAGAGGTATTTACCCTCACCCTGACTCGAGTCCTTAACTCTTAAGTCGCGACAGACGAGTCCAATTCGATTCGAAAGTCAAGTCCAGACTCCAGTCCGAGTCGCGGAACTCGGGTTCCCAGCTTTGTGCAGTACATGTTACCGTTTTAGTAGCTTGTACAGATGTTGGTTCACTGATTCACAAAAATTGTTTTAAATACGTTTGTATTTGTTTATTTATTGCTTACAATGTCGGTGTAGTTTGTGTGTCATGTCCACAGCTTTGTGTTATGTATTTTGTTTGCGTGTAGTGTTGCCCTCCATCACTTATTGTTAAGAATCTATATTGTTATTGTATTTAGGTATAATTAGAGCTCTGAGAATGACCAAATCTAATTTGATAAAATTTTAAGAAAAATCTCACCATAATGTTTTCAGTGCTTATAGTAGAGCGGCTTAGCATAAAAACGTCCATTTCTTAAGTAAAACTTACTCTATCTAGCGAGTTTATCCGACTGTTAAAAATCGCTTACAACAGCCGCCATATTGGCACTGTTTTGTTTTCCATTTATTTGTATCTTAAAAACTATAAATGCCAGAATCAAAATTCGAATGATTTCTGGTCCCATTTGCAACTGACTTCATTAACTGTTGAAAATTCATTTACAGTAGCCGCCATATTGGAATATTCATTGTATACTGTTTTTCCGATACTATGTCGAGATTTTGAATTACCAATCCCTAGTTTCAAGCTTTACTGTGGAAATCAAACGCCTCAGCCGCTCTACTATTAGGGCCTGAAAGGACTTAATCCGGTCCTGATATTGGTTTTTGAGTGAAAATAGTTAAAAAAATCACATAGTATTTTAAAGCAAAGCTAAATATCAACTACATGTACATATTTGTAATAATTTAGGGTGGTATGAAAGCGGTTGTATGGACAGATACGTTCCAGGCCTTTGTAATAATTGCTGGTTTATTGGCTGCATTAATACAAGGTTCTATATTAACTGGTGGTTTTGAAGAAGCCTGGAAAGTGGCTGCTGATAGAGGAAGGGTTGTTTTTGATGTGTAAGTCCAAACAAAATATAAGATGAATTCTATGGTGGCTGTTGTCGGGTTGTGAAGGCGACAAGTCGCGGCACAACAAGTCGAAATAATTGTATTTTGTTGACAAAATCAACCTGGCAACGCGACAAACAAGTGAATAAGTCGAAGGCGACAAATCGACAGAATTGACCCGACAGGTCGACAGAATGAAGACGACGATTGTCGCGTTAGTTTGTCGCGTTGTCGGGTTAATTTTGTCGACTTCACAACCCGACAACAAGAAGAGTTTACCATATCAGGCCCAACGCCATGTCCTACTGGAAAATCCCTATGAACCTTCTCGGTTAACACCGGGGTCGACCTGTGATCTACCTGTTTATGCCCCAGTATCATAATATTCACAAGACCACTCCTTTTTCTTGGTACTAACGCCCACTTTTGTATTTCGTCGTCTTGTCGACAGTGTCATAATATTCACAAGACCACTCCTTTTTCTTGGTACTAACGCCCACTTTCATCTATGGTGATTTTGCAGATTTTTTTCCGAAGAGACTTGACAAAAGTGTCGGATTTCATTGAAAGACCAGGTCCAGCATTTTAGGAGAATAGGAAAGGGAGTACAAAATGGATCTTATATCTAATATAACATTATCAGGACCACGGGGATGACACATCTGTTCAGACACTGCCTGACAGTTAGACGCTGACTCCCCCAGATAGCAAACTAGCCCACACTCTTATGGTTCTTTCTTTTTTTTCCATAAAATCTGCGTTATATATAATTATTTGATGGTAAAATTATTATATCTCCAAGATTCTGAAATTTAGCAAATCATAAAACTATGCTATTTGTTTTTTTATTAACGCAGCTTTGATCCGGACCCAAAAGTTCGCCACTCTTTCTGGACTGTTGTATTCGGCGGGGGTATTTTCTGGACGTCCTTGTTCGGTTTAAACCAAGCACAAATACAAAGAGCTATTTCATTACCAAGTTTAACTAAAGCAAAGATGTAAGTTTTTACCACAATATTCTACTAGAGTCTTTCTTAATAAATGCTGAATTTATGATCAATATAGGTTATAGGTGATTCTAATTATACACCCTTTTCATACAGTTTTATCCCGTTTGTTTGGGATGATTAACGGATAAACGGCTGGTATTGTTATATAACTATTGAATTCGCAGATCACGGGGGAAACCGACGTGATTAGGCAGGCGACCATACTCATTATAACATGCACTATAACTTTCAAAATCATTGACTTCACGTTGAACTTCAATATGGACTTCACGTTGTATTTATTTAATACCAAAACTCAGAAAAATCGTGTTTCCCCAGTTACGTGTTTGTATAAGAGAATACATCGCAAATGCATATTTGACGATGGCAATGCTATCGCGTTCATGTTATAAGCTATAGTCTCAAGAAACTCTATCTAATGTCTCTCTCAACAACTTACCCGAAAACAATTTTAAGATTTTGAATTTAACTGCTATACTATAGAGTTATTACCTATGTCTACTGTCAGGGTCTTTTTATTAATCTCTATTGATTTTTTTACCATTCATTTTTGTTACAGATCTCTGTTGACCAGCCTGATTGGAATAGTATTTATTCTAACAATTGGCTTTATGATTGGGATTGTTATGTTCGCCTTTTATGCCAATTGTCACCCAATCAAATTCATGAATATCATATCGAAAGCTGACCAGGTAGTACACAATGTTTATATCTTTATAACATGGATTATTGGTTACCCAATATCGGTTTATAAGACCCATATTTACCGGTAATATCTGAAACATTGTTCAAAAGTACACCACAAAGTCCAGATTTTACACACCAATATACATATTTTACAAAAAGTAATCTAAAATATTAAATTTAATATTTCAGTTGTTACCATTATTTGTAATGGATATATTGGGACAGTTTCCAGGTATACCAGGAATATTTGTATCCTGTGTTTTTAGTGGGAGTTTAAGGTAGATATTCTTTAATTGATAGACAATAAAATGTAGGAGAAATGTAGATAAAATTATTGACGAAATTGCTTACAGTATTTGTGGATAAATCGTTTTGTGCAGTTTATTTTTAAAAGATAGTCACGTAAAGCGTGGAAATACACCCATATTATACAGCAACTATGTCTCGAAAACTCGAAAACAAAATATAACTTTATACAGCAGTTTGTCCGAACAAGAATTTAGATGTAGACCAAATTGAATGAATAAAAAAAATTATGCCTGAAAGAATTGAGTACCTTAGGTCGTCTGTTAGACGTAGAGAGCGGACAAAAAGTAAAAAAAACGGTTGCCACATCCGGCGCATGACCCATGCACTCTTTTCTTACTACATATTTTGGAACAGCCCTTGATCGTCTAGAGGGGGGTTGGATGGCCGAATGGTTAACACGTGCGCGTTGTATCATACTGTCATTCATTGAGGTTTCGAATCCCCGGTTGTACGTGACAAGAATTAAGGTCGCCTGTCCAACCTCGATGGTTTTCTCCGGGTCCTCCGGTTTCCTCCCACTGCTAAAGACCATTACGCACTTAAGCGAATTATTGAAATAAAATTGAATGTGTTAGTCCTGAAATTACCCAGTTGTGTCGAGTGGACGTTAAAGCCCATTTCTAGTACTGTCTCTGGCTGTATTTGTAATTCTTTAACTGGTTAACATAGGACGTATCTTTAAATGTCATTCTGACATTCCACATTAATGACGACTTCACAATGTGATTGAATATACTGCATCTTAAGTACTATGCTTAGCAGGATCAACAATACCAGAGTTTCTTGATTACAGTTTTATATTAAGCTCCGATGCATAGTATACAAGCATAAATTATAATAAAGTCATTCTCTCTATCCCTCAACCCAGATGTTGTCCCTCAACGGTCTCTCCTAACGAATTTCTACATGGTGTACTCTCTCTCAAATCTACCTCGTGTCTACCCTAGAACGCACTTTCTATTAAGTATATACTCACAGATTCACAGTCATTAATTATTCTATTGGCTAATTTAATAATTATGATGTAATCAATCATGTGATTGGTCACTCATGCCAGATATAGAATGTTAACTTTCCGAACACGTGCTTTTAGACATAGAATCTATCCTTGACCTTAAACCCCTTTTCCTGTTATTCTCACAATTATATTTCATAAACAATTTAATTTGCGTTTTAAACAAACTTAGTCCATAGCTAATATACTGACAATGGAGAATAATTAATCAAGGCCTTAATATTATTATACATATGCGTTCTTTAGCCAAATCCCGCCATCAATATTACTACAAGAATTCTCTATCGGGTTTACAAGCGTTTCCCGACACGTAATATTATCTCGGGAACAGAAAGTCTTACAATGCTGAAAATCTACAGGGTTCATCCTCTCCAATCCCAATGCTTTCCATCAAATTTGAAAACGAATATGGTTAATTCTCTCACGGTCCTAATGTTTCACGCCACATTTAAAAAAAAGAATCCCTAAATCTATAGCCTCTATCGCGTTAACGAGGTTTTCGGAAAAGTGGCGATAACCCAGGAATCAATGGGGAGCCGCCCTCTCATGACCACAATGCTTCACATAATTTTTTGACAAAGTCACTTAATACTTCTAGTCTCTATCGCGTTATCGAGACAACTTTTGACGGACGGACAGACGGATATGGGCAACGACATAATACTTCAACATTGAAACGCGGCCTTATGAAAACGACACAATTTGCAAAAGGTCGTGTTGGAACTCTATTTTATAGGCTGTATGAATTTGGCGTATACGCTACTGTATGTGACACAGCGAGCTAATTATATAGATATATTGAATTACAATATAGCAAAGTCTATATGGAAGTCAGATAATTTGGTAACATTTGGTGATTTGTATGTAAGATCCGGATTGCATACAGTTTAGTTTGACGACGTCGGTTAGTGAGCTCAAAAGACGGTTACCTAAGGGGTGGGTCTATATGGTCTAATCTAGTCGTGCACCGTATGGACACTGACTGATTATATATCTACCTTACGCCATTGTTCCTGATGTAAATCAATTTATATTTACAATGCTGGTCGCCCGTTCTAAACTCATAGTGTTACAGAAACCTGGAACAACGCAGAACAGCTAGGATGTGTTAGGTATGCAACCTTGCTACATTAAAATATTATAGACTTTTTATTGTTTGTCGAGAAGGATATGATTATATATATTTGAAGTACAATGCAGCCACTGTCTTGTTTGGCTGTTCGTTAACCTATTAATTGTTTTTCTATAGTTGAAGGTAGTTAGTTGGTGGAGACAGAGGTTTTTACCCTATCGTTTTAATTACAGCACACTCTCATCCTGTTTAAATGCCTTGTCTGCAGTTACTATTGAAGATATATTAAAAAGATTTCGGTTTGTGAAAAGCATGAATGATTTTAAAATCACTTTATTGTCCAAATTTTTAGGTAGGCTATATTACTTTATTAATGGCTTTTAAATCATTAAATGTGTGATTTGAGGATATATTTGGACTAAAAATATATTTGCCTATCCAAAGTTTGCTTCAAATCACTCGCAATACATTTTTGTCTCAAGGAACTACCCCGGACCTTAAAAATCTATTTTAGTATCCTTAGTCTGTCACGTGATTTGACTGAGGGCGGTTCAGTTTGTCTTTGTCATTACTCTCTGCCCATTTACCATAATGTCGATGCCTAAGTAAATTCTTCGATTTCCCCTGCCAATTTCACGCTTAACCCTCCCAATGCTCTCACAACCGCTTGCCATTCGATCAACACATATGAAGCTCTCCTTACACCCCTCAAGCAGACAACAAGCGGACAGGTTGCCAGTTAGTGATACCCTTATATTGTTGTACTGTGTACGCTCCATGGGTGTTTTCAGGGAATCCAGTATATTTCTAGTAAAATTGAGTGTGTCTACAGTCCATATATAACAAATGATGTGCCATATATTTCTTGGAAATAAATGCCCTATGAATACTTTCGTGTGAGTGCATCTTTAAGTAGCAAAGTGGTCAGTCATTTATTTGAGTGTTGCTATTAGTCCATAAAGAAAACGCAACAGTTCGGGAAACTACGAAAAGTACCACAGGCCCAGGATTGTACAAGCGCAGTAGACGCTTACGGTTAGCGCCCGGATCCATTCACTTAATCTGATATGTACGTTTGTTTGTGTTCTGCGTATTGTGCCTTGTCCGTAGATTTGTTTTGTGTAATCTAAGCCGCCTGTCAGCAGCACACCAATCGCACGGGGTAAGAGTTTATCGTTCTGACTTTCCGTCCTCAAAATACCAATCAAATAATGGGAAGAGCGCATAAGCAAAAATGCATGTATAAAAGATAATAAGTTATTCTTTTTTTCTAGTGGTTATATATGGAGTAATTGGTATTGGTGCTGCCTTTCTCGTATCTCAAGTTAGTGCAATTTTACAGGTGAGTTTGTTGCATGTCATAATACATTTAAAAGCGTTCAGACCGATTCAGAGGTAACAATCTAGTCAAATCGCATCATTTTATTAACAGAGTTTTGTTGCTTTCTTTTATTTCAAGGCAAGCTACAGTTTATTCTCTATTATAAATGGTCCATTAAGTGGTTTGTTTGTTCTGGGCATTTTCTTTCCTTGGGCAAATACGTGGGTGAGTACATTTACTATAATGCCAATGGTTTTCTTCGCTACCAGTTTGGCTTCTTGAAGAATTGGTTGGTCTAGGTCCCTAGATGCATGTTTTCGGCGTGTTACCAGTGATGCAAAGCTTTCAGAAACCGCCGATGCATGTTTCCGCGTTACTCTATATGTTTTGCTCCTTGAAATTTAACGAAATCAAGAACTATAAAGCTATGGCATTCGGCGTTTTAAGGAATTTGTCGGTCTTTTCCCTAGATGCACGTTCTTCAATATAAAAGCTGTTAGCTAGCGCGTTTTCTTTTTTCTAAGACATTGGGCCAACTGATTTCCAGGGTTAAGGTGGTGTATTGGTTAACACCAGTTAGATCAGTGTAGCACTGGTGTAACGCTGTGCTACTTAACCACAGACCCCCTCTGTATTTGAAATCAACCAGAGTTAAAGGAGCTAAATCGCTTTTCTTTGGCACCTAGAAATGGACAAAAATGGGTCACGTCAAACTAGTGTCTAATCTGTGTTTACCCAAACGCTAACTTATTTGAGCTCTTCATTTTGCCTATATTTTCAATACTAATTTCAAAATTTAAGAAAAAAGATTTACATGAAAAAACAATATCAGATATGGAGCTATGTGGGATATTGTTTCTATTTACATAAAAAACTTGATTGATAATAATAACTTGATTAAAGCTATTATCTTGTAACGGGTAACTCTAACACTAGCCCCTAGGGGTTAAAAATACATTTCTTTTGGGAATTATTACAGTCATCCAGATGATGAACCTGGGATTGCTACGAGTACTTATGATTTTTCACATAAATTTGCTGATTCATAAAGTTTTCTCAACAAATTGACGATGCAAATCTCGAAAGTGGGGATTTTAAAAAAATAGCACATGTGTAACAACAATATGTTTCATTTTGTCGGTGTAACACTAGTGTTGAAGCTCAGGTTAGGGTATACAAATTAACACCCGTTATACACCACTAAACTACAACCTTAACCCGGGACTTGAATTGACACAGTGTTTTTATTTTTAAAAAAATAGGGGGCCATTGCTGGTTCCTTGACATCATTGTTTATGATGTCATGGATTGGTTTTGGTGCTTTTGCAAACAAAATAAGAACACCTACTGCTACATTCGATACCTCTGGGTGTAATTGGAATCTAACAACAACAACAACTATGACAACGGTTGCTATGGAATCATCAACAATGTTATTGAACAGCACAACAACACCGATACCCCCAGCAACAGTAGAATCAAGGTAAGTTGTTTGCTGTTCATACTGCCTTGCTTTTGGAATGTTCGTCACTTTGACACGGTAGGCCTATGTATTAATTGATTTTAAATTTGATTGGTGATGGTTAGGGCCTTCTATATTTTTGTCTTCTGTCTTAACTTGAGAGTGGCACCATCTTTGAATGGATGATGGCGGATCCAAGGGGACAATTTCTCAGGAAAGGAATAGGGATTCACTTATGTCAACCAAATTCCTGGATGTGAGACAGTGAGAGTAACATTGCTATAGTTAGCCTGCGTGAGCAAGACAGTCAAACTTAAGTTGGCCGGGAAACGGTGTTTTCCCCTCTGAATACCAATGGATTTTGTTTAAAAAGACTACCAATTTGTAGACGACGGGACATTATTCTTGCTCATTGTCACCCCCTTAAGCTTTTACCATAATAAGTGACCCACTTGTCATCCTGGTTTCTATGTCAGCGCACCGAAGGGCGGGTCGGCCTGCAAAGGAAAAGGCGTCTAGTCGTTCGGATGGCACAAAAACGGCGTCCATCCCTTTACACTTTGGAGTACACGTAAAATAACACTTGACAGTTGGCGGAAACCCCGCTGTTCGGACACAAGCACGCATACCACACTGCATAGCATGCCTGTATTCTTTAGCCCGGTTGGACCCTGTGCTTGAAAACATCCCAACAATTTGCTATGGCCACATTGTAATAGGTAGGTAAACAAATGGATCAGTTTGCATTCAGAAGATCCAACTCACCCCGGACAAACGCCATAGGACATTACCTATTATTTTGGGTTTTATATTACAGCAATCTATTATGATGTATTATGATCTAAGTTTTATACAGTGATTCATTCTATGCTGTATACTATATGTTTTATATATTGCAGTGATCTATTCTATCATACAAATTCCAAGTTTTATATATTGCTGCGATTCATGCTATACTTTATGTTTTTTGCAGTGATCTATTTTATGATACATACCCTAAGTTTTATGTTTTGCAGCGATCCATTTTATGGTGATATATACTCTAAGTTTTATTTATTATAGTATACTCTATGTTTTACACAGTATACCATTCAATGATATATACTCTGTCCTATATATAGTGATCCATTCTATGATATATACTCCAGTTTTATACAGTGATCCACTCTATGATATATACTCCAGTTTTATACAGTGATCCACTCTATGATATATGCTGTATGTTTATACATTACAGTGATCCATTCTATGATATGTATAAATTATCGTATTTATGGTATACAGCAACAGCTATATTAATAAACGTGGTTGTAGGACTTATTGTTAGTTTTATAACGGGTACGTATATATACGAATGTTTCGATGTACATCAAATCTGTTTAGACGTTAATGAAAGGCGTGCTTAAACTATTCTAACCATAATATAGACAAACTATAAATACAGTGGATTCATTTTACAGAATAGAGCTACAACATGTGAATCATTTATGTACAAATTAAGATAAAATTGAAATATTTGGATTGACAAATAAGATCTGAAATAACAACAGACATGCCTAAATGTACTTATCGTCAAGATCATGGTGACGACCATAAAAATTTATATTAAAGATTCTAGTTGGTAAATACACCGTTACATGCTTTTACACTAGCTGAGAAGTCCGCTTAAATTGATCATGCTCTGGCATAACAAGCTTCATGGAAACCAGAAATTATTGATTTATATTAAAGATTCTAGTTGGTAAATACACCGTTACATGCTTTTACACTAGCTGAGAAGTCCGCTTAAATTGATCATGCTCTGGCATAACAAGCTTCATGGAAACCAGAAATTATTGATTTATGCAAAGAAAATTAATGTTTTTCAGGTCGAACAAAGCCCGAAGACCTTGAGCCGAGGCTAATATTTTCAATATTTGATCGATTACTACCATGCCTACCAGAAACTGTTTTAAGAAAACTGCGGTGCGGGGTACCAACAAAACAGGTATACGGATCTTGGGAAGAAAACTGTCTACAAATATTTCTAACTGTTAATATTGTTTTGTAATGTTTAATGGATTTGTGTATCTGGTTACCCTTTGGACCAACTTGCACCTACTATATTATTATGCATTATGTAAGATTTAGATATCTTGCTATAATAGTTCAAAAATAGATCATGAAAAATGAAAATACTGAAAATTTCATTCAAATTACTTGATTCTGAGCAAAGTTATGGATGTTGGTACTGTTGGAAGATGTAGCGAAGATTATTTATTATCGTAGCAACGGTACTGGACAATCGAGACTTAGTCTTAATTCATTTAAATCTCTGCCATTATGAGCTCGTCAAGTTAATAAATGCCTAAATAATAGTTTATTTAAAGTCAAAATAAAGACATGCAATATGTAGGTTTAGCTCTTACATAATGCTTCTATAATGCTTCTTTAAGTCGTCTCTGTCAAACACAAAATCAATGAACTATCTTATGAAAGACTATCTCGTTAATTTTGTTTTTAAAAAGTATCCTTCCTGTGATATTAGCCCATTCATTAGGTGAATAATTTTGATTTTCAGAAATATGAAAAAGATAGCCAGAATGGTACTAAAGGTGTTGATATTCAAGCTTCTGAAAAACAGACTATGACAGCGTTAACTTGTGATAACCTCGAAAATGGTAACACCCACGGTTTAAAAACAGATGTGGAATCTACAAGACTTTAGTGACTCTCTGTTATGCATCCGTATATATTAGTTTTAAACTTTTGCCTCCGTTAGGTATCAATTACAACTATTATACTTTATATAAATATATAAAATTAATAATTTTCTAACAATTTCATACCAAAAATAACCCAATATTAACCTGGTTATCGAAAATTGGAGTACTTGATTACTTAGTTTAAAACATTTTGCACAAACCTTCGTTAAACATAGAAAGTCATTATAGCAATTGGTAATAAAAACGTCAGTGCTGGGTTGACCGATATGTCTCAAATTTAGAACACAGTCTTTTCAGCGCCACCTATGACCCACCAAATCGAAAATTATACACGTACTTTTACCGAATGGCGAAGACCCAAAAGCACTATAGTTATATACTGTCTCATTAACTTACTATATACCAATAATTAGTTTTCATTGTGCACAATTAAAAAAATTATTGAATGTAAATTGCAAAAATGTTGAATATCCATGACAATAATAATATAATCACGGTTTTTTGGGGCTTAATGCTTAGGATGAGTCAATCAGACTGTGATCCCATTTTAGTTTGCATGGGATAAATAATGAGCATTCTTGTAAAGGTTCGGACTACCACGTAAACTTTTAGCAATCTTATTAAAGAATCGGTTATATTTTGTACTTCCGCATGAGAACTGAGTGGTGACAGGAAGTTTCTAAAAGTTTCGTTGTTCTTGTTTGTTTTATATGTGTAATAAAAAATTATTATTTTTTTTATGTGTATATTCTTTTGAATGCATAATTCGTCGAACAATGGTAGTGGCACAGAAATGAGCGATATGCCAATGTGGGCCTGTATTTTCATTTTGTCTTTTCACTAGCATTACTATATTTCAACTGGATTTTGCCTTTCTACCTTCCTGTAGACGGTTGTTTTTTTCTGTTTGAACATCGCATTGGAATATATGATGTCAAAAATATTTTTAACAAGGAACTGGTTCCCTACACTTACTAATCATGTTCTTGTTCTTCTCGGGGTGACAATGAAACTTGTAGTTCGGTTCCTGGTTCATATATATAGTAGGCCACTCTCGTGGGATTTAACGTCCTACTTTTCTGCTCCGGCTACTGGTACACATATTATTATGACATATTCTAACAGCAATATGGTAACTACCTTTGTCATCTCAGTAACAATTACATTAGATAACAATTATGGTTGACTGTATTCACTGGTCTACCAAGTTCGCTAGCAGACTAATCAAAATACTCGATATAATACATAACGTTTTAACTTCCTACTCTTATTAACCTATAACTGGTCAACACCGTGAAGTAGGGGTGAAATTTCCAGACGCCAACGTGAAGTAACCCAGAGTAGTATATCATTAGGATCGGTTCTTACAGAAAATGCCTGCGTTTTCATGCTTGCTTCCACTAGAACTAGAAGCCGAACTCAGCTAATCCGAAAACGGCGTAATACCATAGTTATTGTATCATGGGCGAACTAGACTGTGGAGGACAGTTCGGGTGTCAATAATGTTTTATGACGAAGGCAACTACTCAGCACGGAAAAACACGTTTGGACAACTTCATGTGATTTTAGGGGGCATCAAACCCAAAGGAAACAAAGTATAACAGGTTTTTATGGGTAGGCTTATTCAATTTTCTAGAAAGCATGATCAAAGGAAACAAAATATCATAGAGTATAACAGGTGTTTTTTTGGCTAAGCTTATTCAGATCTTTATTTCTTTTATACTACATATCTCTAGATTTTATACACTTTTACTGATCTGGTTCATATTATAACAATTACATTCAACAAACAAATATATCTATAATACTTTTATATCTAGACATACACTAGTTGGAATGGATTCATCACATTATTATAAAACAAATACATGATTACATTCCAATTTTATATGTCACAATTCAATCTATTTCAGTCACTCTTGATGTCACACACTTTCTTTATAAAATAAAATAAATAAATATAAATAAATAATATATAACATTCAACAAATAAAATAATTTTATACTTTAATAAAATTATATTCACTAAATTCATTTTTATTGTCAAATCTTGTATCAAATATTTTACATAGTATTTCAGATAATTGGGATATCAACAAAAATACAACAATCTTCAAATAGTCACTATTATGGAATCTTGGGAGTAAAAAATGGCCATAGGCCTTTTCAATCTCTACACAGACCAATCTTGTCAGTGATAAAGGAGATTTCTTAACATAAATGATTTGAGGTATATGTGTACTCGGGCTGCACCAACTAAACACTTCACTTAAATTCCCCTACCCCAAAGGCTTTCATGCATAAAAAATAATCTTGCTAAATGATTTTGTAAGGCGTATTAAGAAATAGAATTTTGATTCAGTTAGTTTTTTATTATTTGTTTAGATTACAGTATTTAGTTGATTATATACACTTGGTACACACCACTACTAACAGGATGGGTAAGGTACATTGTATTCTCACTATATAGACATATATTAAAGACTGCAGATAGAAATATAGATTTTAAGACTCTAAATGAAACAAATTTTGCCACTGGAGACAGATATATCCTATTTACAATAACACTTTGGACCCATTTTGTTTATTTTTAAATCAGAAATTTGATCTTAAATCTACATAGACTGTAGATACATCTAATAATACAAGGGTACAACAAGGCTAATAATATAGATTGCATAGTATTATTAGAAACATGTTCTACTTTTAAAAGCATACAAAAATGATACACATATTTCAATTTACATATCAGTTATATATTGATGGAAGACAGCTTCCCTAAATAATTATCTAGCTTGCATTTGCAGGATGACTATCTAATGCTAATTTCATTCCAATCTTTCTGATAGTGTGGGTCTTATTATTAGGCACTACTAATATCCACACTTATAACTAATTCCTGCAATAATGTTGACCACATTTCCAAAATTTTCTTTCATATATGGTGAATTGAGCTGAATACACAAAGCTTACAAAAATCCAAGCCTAGAGTTTTGATATCAACAAATAACTACAAAAGATTATTACAAAATACATCATAATACCAATATATATTTCACATTGTCTAATTACATATTGTTCCTCTATATGGAATGTACTATAATAAATATAGGCGACTTTGCATCTAAAAATTATGGAATAAAAATATATATATATACCAGTATATACCTCTTACATACATGTATTATCATTCATACTACTAAAACATACATACTATTATTAATATTATTATTATCACAACAATTACATAGTTATCACCTATTTATATCTGACAATGCTACCACTAGTGTATATTAGAGCTGGGCGATATTTCGGTTTTTCAATATAAAACTTGACACAGAACTAAAAACCATCGAAAATACCATCTTCAGAAAAGTATTGAAAAACTGAACATACTGCGATTTTGATTTTTCTGGATGATATTTAACAAAAATATTGAAAAAGTGTCTTCCTTTTTATGTTATTTACGATATTTTATTGCCTAATAATGAATAAATACTGTTATAAACTCCTGAGTGTTCATTCCACTAAGTTTACAAACCCTGTTAAAGAGCTTTGTTTTTCTCATATGACTTCTTGCTGATCAATACTGTCAGAATTATCCCTGCTTCGCTTCAGTTTCTATGCATCATGACCAATTGTTTCTATCAATACTTTGATTTTTCAAAGGATTCATTGATTTTCTGATTGAAATAAATTTGAATAAAGCAGAAATATAAATAACACCAACTATATAGAGAGTACCGATAGACTGATTATCGGAAGTGCCATGGTGGTCCGTGATCAAAAAAAATCGCATTAAGATAGTATTAAAGTTTTAGAGTTTAATTTAGAATTCTTGTACTGTAAAATGCATTTTCAAGAAGGCATACCCTTGCATGAGAAAACACGAGTTTGCATGGGGAAATGAATAGCATCCAATCTTATCTGTAGCTATAAAAACATGCACCGCCGAAAGAACACTAACTTTTTTTTATGATTTTTTTACTTTTTGGTGCCTTCTTCATATGTAAATAATCTTAATTTAAAAAAAATATCATAATTAATATATTCGAAATTAAAACTGTAAACAACAACAACATAGACCAACATTTTTAGCAAGTCTTCATGACTATAGATCTTTGATTAAACCAACTATTAAATTTTGTTTGTAAATTCGGTACTGTATTTATGCTAAAATCTTTTAATAATATTGACTAGAAAGTGTCGAAGTGATTATTTTGGGGGTATTTCCAACTTTTTAAGCATGTTTATATACATTTAAAAGGTGATAAACTGAAATTATTGACATTTTATAAAACATCACGATATATTGATTTTATCACGATATTTTATGTTTCGAGGGATATCGCCCAGTTCTATTGTATATTATTACCTATCTCTGTCTCTTGTGGAATAATTTATTTAACTGCCTTCGAGGAAAAATGACCTCTTGGATATTTTTCCATAAGCCTTTGTTAAATGGTCTCATTGACTGAATATCGTTAACGATGTGCGGATCTTTGTTGTCCAGTTTGTTTTTCTGCACGATGTCATAGAGTTTGTAGCGCTCGTTAGTGGTCTGGTTGGTTGTGACTAGGTAGATATGATAGGCAGCTAGCGAACCCAGTAATATTATGACTGATGGGAGAGCAAACAGTAAGAACATTGTGTGAGGATATTCCATAAACAAATGCTGAAAAATATCAAAAGGACATTTATTAAATTTTAAGTTCAGTAACTTGTTGCCAATATTGTATCTATCATATAACATCCAAAGCTCACATCATATTCACTCAATAGTTGATAAATTAGAATCGGTCAGGATATTTAGAGATGGTTGGAGGAGGCTTCCGGCTATGTATATTCTACATAGAACACATGATATGACATCTTATTTCTTTGGGCAGTTCTCAGAACACTCGACAACCCTGTGTGTCATAAGAGACATGACTAATAATAATAAATAAAATTTACCTGTATCAGAATGTATAGTGTTATCGGGTGGACCTCTCTTGTGTTAGGATCAATATACTGAGTGTCCATCAATTTTTTACTGCGGACTATTAGACGTAGACATTTATAGGTCATATATGTACCATTACCACACATTATACATACTGACAGTAGATAGAGTATAAACCATCTTTGATTAAACCCGGCTACACAATTATTGGTCCAAACACAATGGTGATCAAATCGATGTACACATTTCTTACACGTACCTGAAAAAAAGATTTCATTTAAAAATGTTAGATATATATTTGAATAGGAACTTTTGACTATAATGGACACAGCACATGCATTAGGTCACTAACAAAAAAGTCTATTTCAATTCTTCATGATTCACTATATTTCATATAAAAAATGCTTATTTTCAGCCATGCTTTGCTCAAATTTATGTGATCTCAAGATCCACTTTGTATTAAACTGCAATGCTACGCTGGCTGAAGACTGCAATCAAAAACTAGCCACTCTATGATTTCGGCAATCATATGATATTCCTTAATCCAACTTAGATTATCAAATATGGACGACACTGCTTGGAAGACTTCAAAATGGACAGTCTAAAACCGCTTCACAATTTTTGACAAAGAAAACTATGGATCTGATGACAGGTAATACAATCAGTAGATATTCATTATTTAAAATACACTGTAGTGTAAACTTACTGCAGTGCTTAGATCTTGGAGGACGAACAATTTTACAGGTTTTGCAAAAAGCATCCGGATGATACAACACTCCATCTGATTTATAGAGAGACATAAAATACTTCTGGTTTTTAGAAGTAATCTCCCCTGGATCAGGATAACAACTAAGATGCATGAAAAAGAAGTTGGCAAAACAGAAAATAATTGGCAGCGTAATATGGTCACCATCAGGATCATAAACAAAGAGGTATGGTAGTACATCTATAACTAAAATACTGTGTCCCAACAATACCATTAAACAAAACATAATCTGCATAAATGGATTGCTGAAAAAAACAAACAAAAGAATGTTTTATTTTATTAATAAATAGCAGGATACCCAACTTTTCTCGAGCCCCAAATTCGCTCGAGGCCAAGTATGCCCAGGGACCAAATTTGATGGCTTAAAACATTCATCGAGTCATGCTGGTTAATTTGATACCACACTATGTGGGGGTGGAGCACGGCGGCGGAGCATGATTTACACAGGGTCAAGATACTGATTTATGCCAATATAATCTGTTTAATAACATTTATTACCAGAATTTCAAAACAACTATTGAAAGTGAAGGGATGTAGCCACGCCGGGCATTATTTTTTGCCGCCCAGCACAAAGAAAAAATCGAAGAAAGCCGCCCAGTCGTATTTAAACCCTTTCGTCCTTCTTTGTACACAAACTGAAACTCAGCGCTCGAAATTTACCACACGGCAAACTGCAAAGCCATGGCAAAGGGCGACGCAAACCATGTCCGCCACAGAGTAATTTATTTTTGTGTGCCTTTTTAGACCCTATCATCCCAAATTAGTTCAAAGAAAGAAGTATTGGTATTTTGTTTATTTATTTTTAGAAGTTGTGCAGGTCTATTCATTTTACAATTCTACGGTCTTTAAATTTGTATATTTGCCTTAAAAAGGTCACCCAGACCAATTTACAGCACTCAATATTAAAGGTTTGGATGTCGTAAGTGGTGTCATACTTTAATGTACTCATTCTACCGCTAATTCTACCGAATCTAAACTAAATCCTAGCCTATCCACGACACGATGTTTCTTATTTTATTTCTTACCTGTGTTGACCGTGGGTTTGCTACGACCCGGGAGTAGGACTAGGAGGATAGTGAGAGCTTTCTCAGTTTCTGTCTGACCTGATTCTCATTCCACCATAATAATATAATTCTTGAGACACAAGTCAAATAAAACAACGTGTTTTAATTATCAATATCTACTTGTCATAATTCATTGTACTCAAAAAAAACCCAAACACCGTTTTAAGAAACGTTTTAATTTTTAATCTCGAAGTAATAATGTAATATTTGAAAAAAAAAACCCAAAAACTGAGAAACAGAGTGGGGTGGTGCAATTTTATGCTCGGTCGGTTTGTGTCAAAAAGTCTCTGTATCATTGATAACAATTAAGTGAATTTGATAAAAATTTGAATTATATAATTGGAAATTTAATTTGCACTGAAGCAAATACAAAAGGCAGCAGATGCTCTGAAAATACACCAAGAAGGGTTGAATTTTCATAAAAGACCACGCCCCCTCTCAAAATTTTTTTTTTTTCTTCGCTCCGTTCGCAGGCTATTTTTTCCACCACTCAGCAAATCCTGGCTACATCCCTGAGAGTGTTTTCACCTAACTGAATATTATTGGTTATTATCTAACAATATAAATCACAGTTGTTCATTAAACAGGATGCAAGAGCTAAATATGCCTATTTGCAGGCCTTTCTTTAGGCCTTAAATGTTATATAAACTATTAAATAGACATTTATTAACATGACAAGACCATAATTAACTCTTGATGCCATCTGATGGGTATGATTTTAAATATATTTGAATACGACCTGGGTTTAACAACCGGTAATGATTAACAGTAAAAATGTATAATCAAGACTTTGTTTATTATTATCGTAACATCGGTAACAATGACAATCCAGGCTACAGTGTTATTTAAAGACGAATTTTCAGCATATTTCCTTTATATTATCTATTTTTAAAGACAGTAAGCCTCGCATAAGTCGGATTTGTATAAGCCAGATCTTTGCTCAACATGGATAAAATCGTTTGGACCCTTTGATCCTGCTTGTTTTTCTTATTAAATTTCTGTGCGTAAGTCTGATTTCCTAAGTCGATCTTCACTCAATTTGGATCAAAATGTTTGGTCCATTTGATCTAATTCCAGCTTGTTTCCTTTTGCTTAAGTCGGATCGGCAGTATGTTCAGAATTTGACTAAGCCAGTTTCATACCGATGGTCTAAAACACGGTTAAGTATTCCATGCACAGAGCCCCAAAATACTTTCCCATACCATTTTGACTCAAATCAGCCTATTTACCAGGAAAATTCGAAACTCGCTGACTGCTGTATGAGACACTTTCCGGGAAAATTTAGAACATTTTTCAAACATGGCGAAAAAACGGAAGCCATCTACTCGCAACAAAACGGAAGTTATCAACTCGCACACACAAACAAAAGCTTGAAATGTGCCTTTGAATCAATATTGTCCAGCTCTTGCAGTTTATTTTTAATCGGGCTAAGATTTAATTTCAGTCTTCGGCTAACTCGGATAAAATTGGCCAGTCCACTTAGATCCGATGTACGCGAGGTTTACTGTATTATAGTGATAATTGTCAGCTCTTTATCCAATCTTCCATAATGCTGCTTTAGGCTTTATTCCAATGAACATATGTCCATGTTAAATTTGTCATAAAGAAATATCTTCACTTACTCTCAGCTGAAATACCGCTATTGACTAATTATATAACAATTTACAAATTACTGCTATTGTGTTCTTAGAAGAATAGCAAATTAAAGAATGTGTTATTTATATATGTATCATACAGGATTTTCATATTCTGACAGAAATTTCAATCAATAGTAGACAAATATACACATACCTTGATGTTAAAACAGCATTTGCTGTATCATTCAACCATTTTATCAAAACTTTTGGTGCCAATGATATGCATATCTGAAAAATAATGAACAAATATAGTCTTTTTTTCTGTTAACAATATTCATATCTAGCCAATCTTCAGATACATTGTTAGAACTAAATTACAAATTTTCCTGTTAATGTCAACTCCCAATTTAATCATTTACAAAGATAATTTGCAGATTAATGTATAATTACCTGTCCTAGGGTCCTTTTAATATACCCTACAACACCCGTATTTAATGTTTGTGAGTCCCGAAAATAGTAGAGAATAGACCCAATCACAAAAGACATTATGTAACCAATAAACAACACTAGAAAATCCATATTGCACAGTGTCTTGGAATTCTGGAATCAAGAGGTTTTCTGTAAATGGAAAGGAAACATAACATTACAAGTTTAAGAATAAATAAACATCAAATCAATAAACACAGAACAAAGAATTCAGTGTGGTACTGAGGTTATGAGAGATTTTAACAATCAAAATACAAATGTGTGCTTCTTAAACATACATTATGCAAGAGCTAAATCTGTCTATTGCAGGTCTTTCTTTAGGCCTGAAATGTTATCTAAATTATTAATTAGACATTAATTAATCCTATCCAGACCATAATCAGCTCTAGATGGCATTGCTAGCCTGCGATCTTTAGTGGATGATGAGCTGATTTACTGCGTAACTTTCCTTCACGATTTAATAATTAAATGGATAATCGAGACTATGCTGTTTCTCGTACTGACTTTAGTAAAGATGATCGAGGCTAGGCGGAAATTTCAATCGTTTAGTTCTCGGTTCATGGTGGATCAATTTGAATGAAATTTTCAGCAAATTGCCTTTATATTATCTAGTTTTTAACTTTTATAGTGAGAACTGCCAACTCGTTATCAAATCTCCCATAATGTATCTTTAAATATAATAAGTTTATCTCAAAGTTTTGTCATTGAAAAAATACACTCTTTCAAATCTTGCATTCTCAGCTATGATTAAAAATAGTGGGCTTTTTACCAATCCAAACACTAAACATACAGGAACAACTAAAAATATTTATAGGACAATATTGCTTTGACAGTAGTCATATCAATATCATATGTTTAAAGAGGCATTATATCACTCTCATGAAAAAAAAAAGAAGAAATTTTAATTAAATTTGAATCACACACCCAAAACACACCCTTATTGAAAATCCAATCACTGAACTACATATATTTAAATTAAGATAAAATCAAGAAAATAAATCTGTACTACTGGTAGATTTAAAGTTGAAACTTGTAAGTCAAACATTATCTTACAATGGCAGAAGTCTCCCAAATTTTGTGTATCAAAATATTTAAACATGTTTAAACATACATTATGCAAGAGCTAAATCTGCCTATTGCGGGTCTTTCTTTAGGCCTGAAATGCTATACAAACTATCAATTAGACATTTATTAAAAAAACAAGACCATAATCAACTCTCGATGGCATTGGATACTCAAGATTTTAACTACAGTGTAGATTGGATTAGAACGGTTTGCCATTTAAAAATTTAATTTAAAAATGGGAAAGCGAGGCTATGGCTTGAATATACCAGTGCCCTGGTTACCACTGTGCACACATCTGGTCAAACCTACCAACAGTGATAAATTGGCTCAGAATGAAGTAATTTGAATGAAATTTTCAATATTTTCATTTTACATCATCTATTTTTGAGCTATATATATATAGCAAGAATGGCCGGCTTTTTAACTAAATCTTACATAATGTATCTTTAATTATAGATAATAATACAACTCCATTTGTGTACATGAGTATGGTAATAGAATTAATAATGACAATCACAATACTTTAAACACATTTCCCCATCACATTTATATTCAATACTGTAAATTATATTTTATCGTCCGGCAAAGAATGCCTTCACCTTTTTTTTCAAGAATGCCTATCACCTGTAAATCACCATACCTGTAAATCACCAATGCTCCAATCAGGTCCATCTACTGTGCAAGATTTTAGAAAAGTCTTTAGGCCTTATTGATTGAGTTCAAGAGTTAAATAGACAATCAGGACATTTTAGCCTCCTTAATTGTAATTGCTTATGCAAAATCTGTTTCTTTATACTTGTATGTAGGCAAGTTCTTGCATTTTAAATGAGTTTAACATTATGTGGAAAAAGATCGGCCCAGTTTATTACACGCAATCATGTATTTACTCATTTATAAAGTATAATGGCTATTAATGCCATGTATATGATGTCCATTTAAACCCAACACATGAAAGTCTACTACAATAATTTAACTAATTATCTGAAGGACACAGACAAAAAGATTCCAATAATGGCGGTACTTATATCTTTAAATCATCCAGTCTGCTTAACTAGTCTAATTCTTATCATTACAAATCAACCTATCAATTATCAATGTATGTTGTTCTTCAATTCGAATTTCTTGCGAAGGCATGGGAGCAGTCACACAAGCATTACATTGTTGTGTTCTAAAAGTCACACGTTATGCCAAAAAGATATAATATGTACTTACTCAAGAAATTTATACTTATTCTGTTTCTATCTTTAAAGTGCTTGTCGTCTGCATGCATCCCTCAATCAAGATAATTACCTAATCAAAATGTCAAACGAGTCTGTTTGCCGCCATGTTGTGTACCATGTTACTTTACCGGAAGTTTACATCAACAGCTGTGCAGGTGCTGTCACGTGATCTATAATAATATTGATTTTTTGTTCGAAGCAGATGGACTGACCTGAAATTTATTGGTGAACGTGAACAACATTGAATTTATGAAAGAATGTGCCATTAGCTACAGGTATTGTATACATTATAAATTTACTGTTCATTAAATGTGCAACTATAAAAAACAACAAACTATTATAGGAAGTTTATATTGTATTTCCCGCAAAATTTACTTGGGATGAAGTCTTCGCATTAGACAAAGTTGACAGAAGTTTGTACCTGGTGGGTTAGTTGACACATCAATCTAAGTTATCAATTAACACATGTATATATCATATATATATCTTATTGAATCAAACCATAAATATATATACATATAATAACATCACATAATTTATTGCACAAAGATGCAATTAAGAGTAATGAATAGTTTAATTTTTATGAAATTACTGAAAGGATACAGTAATACAGATGAATAATTGACAGAGGTGAGAGATAATTGATTTGTATTTTTAGAAAAGTCCATTTTAAAATTCTGTGTTTTAGTAAAAATTGATTAACTTGTTTTCTAAACTAGAATGGCTACTTAATTATAGTTAAAAGAACACTAGCTGCAGTATTGTGTGTACTCTTTATTTTATACGCCCAGATTTTCATATTGCTGTATATTGTTGTCGCCCTTGTCCGCCTTGAGGTCTGTCTGTCTGTCCACAATTAGTTTGTGGACACTCTATATTAGGTCACAATTTGTATCCGATTTTGACAAAACTTAAAATATAGGTCTATCTCCCAAAAATCTTGGTTCCTTTCAATCATGGATTATGGCCCCTGGTTGTACGAAAAATCACGTTTTTAGCTTGTGGACACACTAGAGGTCACATTTTTATCTGATTTTAATACAACTTGAAATGTATGTTTATAACCTAAAGTTCTTAGTTTCTTTCGATATTGGCGCATATTGGACCATAACTTCCTGAATTATGGCCCCTGATTGTACGAAAGACCCCGTTTTAAGCTTGTGGTTTCTCTAGAGGACACAGTTAATCATCCGATTTAAAAAAACTTTTAAATATATCACCGTTACACCGTAAAGTTGGTTGAGTTTGAATTTCGAGAGAATAGGACCAAAACTGCCAGACAAAATGTCCACCCCTCACACGTAAACATATGGTATATCAAGGTTGTGTACCTTCTAGAGGCCACAATTTTGATGAAACTTGAAATACATGTTTATAACCCAAAGATCTTGGTTCTTTTTGATATTCGCGCATCAGATCGTAACTTCCTGAATTATGATCCTTGATTGTACGAAATATCCTGTTTTTAGCTTGTTACACGCTAATGATGGCCGAGTTCGAATGGCCGCCCCTCGTACGCAAATAGTGTAAATATATGGTATATCAAGGTTGTGGGCCCTCTAAAACTTGAAATACATGTTTATAACCCAAAGATCCTGGTTATTTGCGATATTTTTGCATATCGGATTGTAACTTCCTGAATTATGACCCTTGATTGTACAAAAAATCGCTTTTTTTAGCTTGTTCTCTATCCATCTTTTGCAAAATGTGGGCATATCCTGCCTGGCAGTCGCTGGTTGTAATTTATCTATAAGCTTTAAAGGTAAAACCAAGTAAAAGTGAATTAAAGTTATCTAATCGATAAGGTTGTATTCCTAATTGTTTTCAAATTTGAGTGACGTCTGTGTCACTACAGACCCGGGACTGTACAGCGCAGTGGACGCTTACGGCTAGCCCCCGGATCCATTCACTTTTTTTCAATTGTCTGTATGTTTGTGTTTTCCTGAGTATGATGTCCTGTCCGTGTATTTGTGTTTTTGTTTAAATTTTGTGTGGTGCAGTCCCCCTGCACTTACTATATAGTTGCCGCTACAGTTAAAAATTTTAACTAAATTTCTGATATTAAAATAGTACAGTTTACAAATATTATTTACTTGAGCTCCCATAAGCATAAAACTATCCAAAATTGTACCAATATTACTATTTTGAAAAAGAAAGCAAGTATGTCACTGCTATTGGAATATTTATTTATTTGTACCTTATTCCTCCGATAGTATTTGTTTCGTGATGATTTTGTTGTTCAGTTGTGCAGCATTTGTTTTTTGTGAAAAATTGATAGGAAATGTATAAGTGCATACTAATAACATGTGAACACAAACAAACATAAAATGTGCCAATCAAATTAGAAAATGTTGAAATTTTATGAGAATTTCTTTCATTTCTTTTGTCATCTTTTTTCATTTCAAACACTAATTTACTTAATTTAAATGAGTTTCAACCATTTTTCATTTATTGTGCCTATAATTATAAGACAAAGAATAATTGTTCATTGTACAAATGTTTGACAATTGTTCCTTTATTGATGACTTTGTGTACATGATAAAGCAAATAACCTATAGGTCTATGTAATAAGATTAAGAGACCATGCCCTTAATCAATGTAGGAAATGTCAATAAATATACCATGTTTTCCTTACAAGTACATGAAAACTATATTATATATTATTTATATTGTTTCCTCATATTTATCTTATACGTACAATATACTTCTCTTAGCTAGATAGGTCACTCATATACATGTAGATAAATATTTGATTTAAAAGATTTCTTAACCTTATATTTATTGTAGTTTTGAAAGAAATGGATTATCAAACTTCAGTTGACTGCTGTCATTTACAGTAATTGTTAATTCACAGATAAATTGGACAAGAAAAAAAAATGCCTTTCAGAAATCCACAGACATGGCCAAAATCTTGTGGCTTTGAAATTTATGGATATGGACCAAGTTATGTTATTGCTGTTGAAAACAACAGTGTAGCAAAAAAAGCTGGACTTATACCTGGAGATCAAATTTTAGAGGTGCAGGGGCAAGATGTGTCAAATCTACCATCAGAGAAAATAAAAGCCCTGGTGAAAAGATCACAAGTGACTTATCCAACTTTAGAAGTAGTGGCTTGTCTGCAAGAAATTAATATTCTTCCAAATCACATTATTGGATACGGGTTTACATGTAAAAATGGCCGACCGTTGGTGGTGTCAAGTGTTGAATTTGGTGGACCAGCTTATATGGCAGGCCTCCGTAAAGGTAACACAAAAATTTTAATTATATTGTAGTTTACAAGGGATTCAGCAATCTCTCAAATGATGTCCATTGACTTTAATTAAAGATACATTATGTAAGATTTAGATAAAGAGCTAGTCATTCTTGCTATAATTGTTCAAAAAAAGATAATGTAAAATGAATAATTTGAAAATTTCATTCAAATTACTCTATTGCAAGCAAAGATATTAGCCTTCGAAGGTTTGACAAGACATGTGCAATAATTTCAACCACCATACTGGTTGTTCTAAGCTCAGTCTCGCTCCTCCATTTTAAAATTAAATCAAAATATGGCTGAACTGTTCTAATCTATTTAATATCAGAGAAATCCGATGCCATCAAGAGTTGATTATGGTCTGGATAAGTTAATTAATGTCTAATTAATAATTTAGATAACATTTAAGGCCTAAAGAAAGACCTGCAATAGGCAGATTTAGCTCTTGCATAATGTACATGTATGTTTAAGAATTAATTTTAATTTGTCCTGATTTGGGAAAATCTGCCTATTGAAGGTATTTTTTTCATACTCCAAATATTCACATGCCAAGCCCTTAATCAACTCTCTAGAACATTTGATGGCTTTGATATTAATCGAATAAGATGACCCGCACCCTTAATTGCCAATCTAGATTACGCTTTTCTTGTCAGAACTTCAAACATTCATAACTTTGCTCAGAATAAAGTAATTTGATTGAAATTTGCAATACATTTTTATGTATGTATTTGATTTAAAGAGTCATATGAGGGTGATATACATATATGTACATTATCAAATTCTAAAATTTCTAATGCCATGTTTTAGGTGATATTATATTGGCTGTAAATGGTATGAGTGCAGCAAATATACAAGATATAGAAAATGTACTAACATATAAGCAAGGTAAACTAGTATTACTTACCATACCTGTTGGTAGAACTAGTAATATGGTACAAGATGATAAAAACATTAATAAATTCCAGTTTAGACTTCAAGATCACAGAGCTAAAGATCTTCACGAAAAGGTAATTCCGTGTTATTTGCATGAATATTATTATACGAGCCTACAGTAATTGTAATGGGCCAAATTGTTGAAAAAATCTCTGATTTTACAATTTAGATGTAAGGAACACCAGTCAGTCTTTATTGAGTGGCTCTTTGATAACTCTGGCTGTGCAACTATAGATCTGATAATTTGTTAACTATTTGGTTCGGATATTTGTTTTTGAGATAACTATAAAGTAGTTTGAAACAAAAAATATATAACAAACAAATAGAAGCTCAAAGAAAAATGATAGAAAATCCCACAATCAGAGTGTGTTGTGTTCAATACTGTAATGGTCAAGAAAAAGTTGATAATTTTCTTAAATTTACCCAATAGAATTGTAAATTTTATACATGTAAGTTAATTTATTATAAGCTATTGGTGACATATTTTAAATCTAGTTCAATTAAGAAACTAGGTCAATTGATCACTAGCAATATTGGCATAATTAGGTATTCGTACAAATCTGTCGATCAGTTTCTACCTCGTAACAATCAGCTGTGTGTTGCAGCAGATGTTGCTTTAAATCTGAGATATTTTATTTTTCAAGTAAATAATGAGTAATCATATAATATATCTAGAGAAATATTACAATACATGTATTGTAATATCACACTCATGCATGGCTGTACCATTTTATGATCCACCTCCAGAAATCAATGGAAATTTAGAATAAAGGTCATTCACCAAAAATTAATAATATTGTATATGCAGTCTATAATCGATTTTCTTTTGTTTTAGGAAATTAGCCTCTATAAATTAAATAGGATATACATTTTTATACATTTGTCATTTATTTGAAATATTTAACACATCTATATTATATATGAATTTTCAATGGTTAAAAACAAAACAATAAGATAAATATCTATACTGTTATGTAGTTAAGAATACAATAATATAATATATTAAGATGCAGATTTACATAAAACAGAGTCGCCTATAAACATATAGTCTGTGTATTGATTACTAAATTTCTCACAGTTATACTGTATATCACAAATAATGTGATAAAAATATAGTAATTTGAATATTTTGGATTATATTGAACAATTCCTGAAATGATTTAAAATATCTTTTCTGGTTTAAAGATCCTTTTGATCTTCTATGCATACCTGGAACATTATTCTATAATGCAGTCTACTGTAGATGTACTTAAATTTTTAATCAATTTCCAAAACTGACCTTTTAACTTCTCTTAGAATTGAAAAAAAATATGAATATTGGCTATAGATATTTATGTGTACATTTATATTAAAGCCTAAAAAATACATGGACTTTTGATGATGGTAATCAATTGAACATGTGATTGGGCCATATACCAATCAAATTATCATTAGCTTCATCTATCTATTGTCTATTGATCCAATCAAAGTCACAATTCTTTAATTAACTCTCTTATATCTATTATTTACCAGGTTTTATTAATTATTTATAAATTCTCTACTACATGTACCTGTTGTTAAGGCTGCCTTCAGATCTTATTTCTTATTCTTCCATCTATGTATGTCTGATTAGTTTGTTTTTTCATTGATGTACTAATTTTAGGTCATCTATGTAAGGAATCTAAACTACTGATTGCTCTTTTTATCGTAAACTTGTAGTATGCTATAACTGGAATAAGAAATCATGTCAACATTTTCCCATGATCCGCCTCTGAACTGTAGCCATTACACAAAAAAAACAGACAACAAATATCTGAAATGTTCTGTTTGGGCTATTTTGATGAAACGACTCTTTCTCTCGCAGACACAGGTTTAAGCGCTCCTAAGATTCACAAAAAATAATAACAAAATCAACAGCAATCATAATTAAAAGACATGAACTTTATATCAACTTGAATTAAACTGCTTTACTGGGAGATAACGATCGACAAACAACTATATAGGCAATATGATCTATGTTCTACTGGACGTTCAGTGTATTCAATATTTTGGGAATGATTTATTAAATATTTTGTTGACATTCATTGTGGGTTGGGATTGTGGATGTCGCCCTAGATTTGGACCCCCTCCTCCTATTCACAGCTACTGTAATTATATAAGCACATTTATGTGCCATGAAAATGAATAAAGAATGGGCTCAGAAATTGGTGGTGAGAAAAAAAAACCTATAAACTTTAAATGGCCATAACTTCGCAGTTAGATTCGATAGATATGAATAATATGATGGACCAGTATGTTTTTGTAGGACTAGACTTAGTTTTAATTGCATATGGTCTTAAAATCCACACTTGGATTTTATTTACTTTTACTGTTTTCATCTGCTCTCTTCTCTTTTACTGACATCATCCAGTATACTTTGATTTTTACCATATGGGTCTAGCATCATACAGGGTCTAATCACTATTTGCGTTCTCTTTTCTTATCTTCTTGTGGACAGTTCATTTGTGACCAGAATCAGGCGTTCATAACCACAGCTTGACGAAGCTTACAGAAAACAACATAGGTGGGGTTGAACTTGTTGTTTTTCACTCACTGCTTTTTTCAATTTTAATCTATGAAAGGAAAAAGCCATGTCCTTGAAAATGTGGTGTGTCACCCTTTGAGACGTTCAACGCTTTTTATACATTATATTTTATTTACAGTTGGATTTCTCTTATCTTAGTGGGGGGGGGGGGGTTGATGGCCGAATGGTTAGCGCTACGCGTTGTATCGTAAGGTCTGTCATTGAGTCAACGGGTATGGGATCGATTCCCCGGTTGTACGTGACAAGGAGTAGAATCACTTGTCCAACCTCATGGGCTTTCTCCAGGGTCCCCCAGTGCAAGTGAATTATTGAAATAAAATTGAACCATATGTTAGTCCCAAAATGACCTGGTTTGTGTCGAGTGGACTTAAACCCCATTTGCTCAGTGCATTCTGTTTGTACAGTTTCTGCCATGTACCCTCTGCTCTTGACGTGAAAGAATTCCGGTACATGTATTATTTTCTTTCTAGAACACCTGGTATCACTCAGTTTTTCAGAAAGTCATTTTCCTGCAAAGGTTAACAACAATGTAAAAAGTGAAAAGCAATAGGCAAAATTGTTAAAATGAGGCTAGCTTTATCATGAGTCATGGTCAAATTTTCTTTGTTTTTATATAATATGAAATCAGAGTTATATTGTTATATGAACAAATCGATGCAGATTACTATATAAGATAACTATTGCAATGTTAATTGTTATATACATGCATGGTATGAAACCACAAGTGTATTAAGTACGTTTGTTCTAGATCGAAAAATCATTAAAATTGCAAAAGAAAATTAGACGCTTATCTAATCTTCCCTGAATATATACATTCATTAAATTGTAATGGTATAGTATATACATGTATATTGACCACATGAAATCAATATCACACATGCTTAAAATACTACAATATACAGAAATTGATTTATGAACATAGAATATATGTTACAGAATATTTGTTATATTATACACATGGAGAGAGTATTATTAAAGTTTGAAATAAATCTAATCTATTTAGAAGGTTTACCAGAATAAACAGCAGTCATAGACTTTAAGACTATACACAATTAAAAGTACTCTTACTGATAAAATATAATGATCCAGAATTTACCCATGTAAGCATTTGAAATACAATTGACCATTTAAAAGTATCCTATCTAACATACAATTTTTAAGCGCCCAAATTTCAGCCTGGACGTATTATGTTGTCACCCTGTCCGTAAGCAAAATACTTGTGAACACATTTAAGGCTACAGTTTTGGTCACAATTTTTTCAAATGCTGTTAAGCATCATATTCATGAGAGGCTGATCCTTACTGCTACTGATATTCCGTGTTCCACATCTTTCCTTTCTATAGTTAACGTGATAGAGACTACAGTCTTTAACAACTTTTTGAAAAAAAATTTGGCTTGAAGCCTTAGGGTCATGAGAGGATGAACTCTTTTGGATGAGTTGTTGTAGAGACATAGATGCTATCATGACAGGATGACACCCATCGATATTCTGCATTCCGCAATGTTCTATTCCAGAGACCATTTCCCAAACCTTGTGAACATGGTAGATGGTGAGATGCATTGAGGGCATGAGAGGACGAATCCTACTGATATCAAGCATTCCTCGACCTTCCTTTCCGAAGTTAGCTCACATTTCTGAAAACCTTGGGGTCATGAGAGGTTAAACCCTATTTAAAATTCAGTGCTCCATACTTTTTTTCCATGAGAAACGCTGACTTTCCTGAAACCTTGTATACTACAGTTTTTAACAGATTTTTTTCATCATTGTGGTCATGGGAGGTTGAGCATTCCACATCCTTCCAATCCAGAGTTATGCTCCCTTTTACGAAAACCTTGTGAACATGATAGAGGCTACAGTCTTTAATGGATTTTTTTTAAATCTTGTGTAAAGACGAACCCGCTAAATATTCAGTATGTCGAAGGTCAAGAAAGATCCCCATATTCTGAAATAATTTTATTCATAAATTTAGAAAAGAGTTTGAATTGTAAATAGTTAAACAGTGATATATGATAATAACTAATTTATATAGCACCTCTGATTATACTGTTCTACTCAATGGCACTTAGCCGCACTGTCATGTTATGTACATGTATTCAAAATTAAGTAAGTTATCTTCAAGCATGATTTAAAGGACTCCTTTAAAGCTGCTGGGAGTTCATTCCATATGATGCAACTGCAAAGGCCCTATCACCACAAGAAACTTTCAAAGTTTTAGGAACGAAAAGGTTGTGTTTTGATGTTGACCAAGTTGTTCTTTCTCCACTTTAGATCTGTAGTAGATCACTCAGGTAGTCAGGAGCTAAACCATGGATGCACTTATAAGTGAGGAGGATTACTCTATGTTGAATACATCTGTTTATGGACAGTCAGTGAAGGGATTTGAGCACAGATGTAATGTGATAATGGAGTTTTGTATGAAAATATTACGATACTTCTGTTATTTTATTTGTAGATGAATTCAGTACTGGGAGATGATTATGAAAAGAAAATGGCTGTTGTAGGAATATTAAAACAATATGCTGAAGATAGAGATGTAACACTATTAGCACATGCTTTACATACAGTTCTTAAGACGCCACAGCAACGTAGAATTCTTAGACAGATAAGGTTAATATGGAAACCTTTTAAATGTACATTCTTTTTATAATGAATAATATAATTTATTCCTTTATGTGCCATGCATCTCTTGTTAGATTGTGCCGATGGTATTCCCGGTATTAGGCAAGTCTATGATATTTCATTGAAAAAGATAGATTCCAGTACACAAAAATCCAGTGCGAAAATTAATGTGAACCGATTTTGAAAATTTCTCTTCAAAATATGAAGCTCTTTGAGTGACCTCATAATTGTGATGATCACTTACATGTACCTCAATAGAAGTTTACCTTTTCAGTTAGGGATAGGGTAGAATTTGCGGATGGAAAAGTATTACATATCTTCAAACATTGGTTCAAGATTAGGATGTCTTTTACAGAGAATTAACCAGTTTTATTGACTAAACTATATCTAACAATGACATTCTTAAAATAGTGCCGATTCATTTTGCAGCATTATTTTTTTTTAGGGGATTGAGTTTAGTTCAAAAGATTTTCATCTGGTCCTCTTTGCATTATAATGAAGCATTTATTAATGACAGTGTCCTCTTATTATAGATTTATGTAACCATGTTTCAAGTTCCTGATAGTTTATTTGACTTGGTTTTAAAAGTTTTAAAAATTGCTTTAATAAAATGATGATTATTATTTTAGACCATTTGTTCCACCAAGTTATAGAAATCATTATGATGAATTAATGAAAGGAAGAAGTCATTCACCAACTACCAGTGAGAAAGCCAGCAGTATTAAATCAGGACCTGCAGCACATAAAACTGGATTTAGAAAGTAAGATGAAACAAAATGGAGTTTTAGAGACTACTTGTCTGCTGATGAAGACAGACATATGCCATGCAGAGTGTGCTATTAGGGGAACTTGCTCTTATTTCGTATTCCACCTGTCAAGATATATTTTATGTGCACTTCAATGTGTACATACATACATACATACATGTACACTGGCCCTCTATTTTTGGTACCACTGAAATGACCAGATGATGTTCCCTGTCAGATCCTGTATCCTGTTGCATCACTGATATGTGAAAATGAGGAGAGAGAGAGAAATGGGGTTTAACGACCACTTGGCACAAACTAGGTCATTTTGTGTCTAACATACATGTATGGTTTAATTTTATTTAAATAATTAGCTTGCGCTTAGGGGTCTTTAGCAGTGGGAAACCGGAGTACCGGAGAGAACCCACAAGGTTGGACGGACGACCCTAGTCCTTGTCACATACTACCAGGGAATCAAAACCATGCCAGTTGACTCAATGACAGACCTTACCATTCACCCATCCCCCCCCAACCACTCCCCACTCCCCCTCCAAATCCTGAGAACCTTCTAGACCAACAGCTGGACTGAACCCAGCTCCTCTAAGTTAGTAAGTGTGCATCTCCCTGAAATTTTCAAAGAAGATTTTTAAACAGAAACATTTCTAAAGTAAGCCTCTTTTGAAAAGATATATGTCTGTATCAATATTCTTGATTATGGTTATACAATGTACATATTTGAATATATAAATTGTTAAATATATGTAAATTTTTCTTTAGAACAATTCAAGTCATAAGAGATGCAGGTAGTTTTGGTTTAGTTATAAAGGGAAGTAACCCAGCTTATATAGAATCTGTTGACAGAGACGGACCGTCCGAGAAAGCAGGATTACAAGCTAATGATTATATTATGAAGTTAAATGGAATAGATGTTAGGTTGGTCAGTTAATTTCTTTAAGTTTAATCTATAAGTGGGTGTTTAACTGTCTGTTATAATAAGTCACTTAGTAACATGGTCTTTTTTTCAAAATAAAATGCAAAAATTAAAACATCCCTCTAACATTGGATTTTCTTGAAGAATTGACTGAGAACCAGAATATTTTTTTGTATGACCTTAAATTTTATGTAGTAAAAAAAACATGCAGACATGTCAATTATGCCATGTTTTTTAGCAACTTAGCTTGCTCGATTCAACTAGACCAGTTAAAAATACATGTAGCTAATGGGTATGCCTTTCTAAAGATGCTTTTTTCTCAGAAAATACTGAATCAATTTATTATAGAATTCACTAGAAATTTGATACAACCAGATTAAGTATTGTTTAATGGTTGAGAGCGAGACATTAAGTAATATATTGTAACAACATGAGGGCCGTAGGCCCGAATGTTTTTACAATATATTACGCAATGTCGTAAGCTCGAGACCATTAAACATCTTAAAATACTGACACTCCGCACGAGCTTTTACGTCACACTAGTCCAATATCTCACTGGTATGAATAAAGTACTATTGGCAAGTTGCCCGTACGATTATTTGAAATAATGGTACGCCAACATCAAAGGGTGACGTCACATCTGTATTTTAATTGGAAATAAGCAACAATAAACTACTAGATCCCATTTATTAAAACATTCAGTAAAATACATTTGAAAGCAAGTGATTTAATATGTATTTCACGTGTTGAGATGTATACATGGATGTTATTGAGTTTTATTTATATATTTATGCTATGATAGGAAACATGGTCATGGTCCTTTATGTCAGTTATTACAAGACAGTGGATCAGCTCCAACTATAGAAATATTACGATGTGAAGAAGGAATCTGTAAGTAAAAATCACCTATAACAGTCTTCCTAGATGTAATAAATCTTATTTTTCACCTAGGCTACCACCTTCGTCCTTCACTTCCCAACTGTTACATTGAAGCGTGCTATACAGAATATATCTTCAATATAAACATATATCTAAATTGTTTTAGTGGCATTTAGTAACTGGATGAGAATAACACATGACACAATTATATGGAATACAAGTTACTTAAAGAGTTTATTACAGCGACGTTTCGACGAGGATTCTCCCGTCTTTATCAAGCAAAGAATGTAATAAACTCTTTAAGTAATTTGTATTCCATATAATTGTGTCATGTGTTAAACATATATCTACAAGTAAAAAAGGTTCATATATCCATTGTAGATTAAGGTGAACATGAAAATATCCATTGTAGATGATGATGAACATGAAATGAATATAGGGGCCTGTTTCACGAAATTTTAACTAAGATAAAATCCAATTTTTAGTAATTTGATTGGATAATATTAGATTGATTTTAGTGCTTAGCCAATCAAAATTGAAGTATCTACTAAAATTTGGACTTAATCTTTAGTTCAGATTTCGAGAAACAGGGCCCAGGTTGACATAAATGTAAGATGATGTAAATGTAACCTTCCACAATTTTAACAGTAATTTCCAAATTTGTATGTTTCAGCTCCATCTGCAAGTATGTATTCCATGTCAACAGAATCATCAGCTTCTAGTCATGCTTCCATAGACTGGTTAACAAGTCAAAATCATCTTGATAAAGAGGGCAGAACCTTTCAAGAAAGGGTAAATTATTCATACATTTGTCATTATTGAAAGATATTTAATTTCTAAATTTACTTGGGAAAGATTTGTCTATAATTTACTGTAACCTAATCTAATTTTGTATTTAGAATTTTTTTATCATTTTCCACAATATATCTTTTTCATTCTCTATCTATATCTAGCCAAATCTCCACATTATATCTTCCTCATTCTTGAGACAAAGTTTTACTCAGATTGATTCTTTGAGAATATGAACGTTGTTACTGTCATATTTTTCACATTATTACTTTATTACTGAAACATGCCATAAATTTTATAAATTGTTTCAACAGGCAGATTTCTTATTAACAAACAGAGAAAAGATTTATATAAAAAGGGCCTTACAGAATTATGAATTATCGAAGTAAGTAATGGGAGTATTGGATTTAAAAATTCATTGAAATTTTGCAATTTTCCTTTGGAAGTCTAAAAACTGAAAACATAACAATAACTAATATCAAAAAATGTTCATGGAGATGACAGAAATTTTATGGACTGTGCATTTCAAAAATGTTTATATTACACCAAAAGCAGATTGCTTATCTCCTTTTGCTTGTTGTTTTATTTTGTTTTTTATTTATGTAATGTAGTGGATGTCTACATTAAAGAATCATATTTAATATAACTGATATTAAATTGTATTATAATTGTATTTAAAGAAATGTTGTGGATCTACACAGTGAAGTAGCTACTATGTTAGACAGTCCATCGAAGAAAACTCTGTGGATGTTTATCATTGCTCGTCTACCGCTGGAACATCAACAATATTGTCTTCACCGTATCAGTCTTACTCAGGATATACTGCTTGGTGAGAGTCTTACTTACATTTATAATTTTAATATTTTAAGAAATCTTTTAGAACTTAGCTATTGAAGAAAGTACCCTTACATTTTTCTAATTTTCAAAAATTGGAATCTGTTTTTTTGGCACTTTACTACGTAAACCCTTTCTTTAATGATTTAAAAACTAGAGCAAGAATATATAGTGTGAATTCTTAAACCTTTTGCATTAGCTACAAAATGGCAAATAATATATTATCAACCTACCCAATCATGTACATAGATTACAGATAACAGTAAGTGTGACTTTAATGTGGATGTATATTGTCATCACCTTCGTCCATTGTTCCATCTAACTTGACTTGTCAGATTATTATCAGACTTTCAGACATTATTCATTTGATGGTAAGAAAGACCCCTATAAAAATTAAAAAGTTTTACATAGAAGTTTTGAGTTTTGCAAATTATGGAGTTACCTCACCATTAATATTCAGACTTCTGAAAGCTTTATCGGTTGTTTATAAAAAATTTCACAATTCATAAAGAATGGAATCAATGTTCAAAATTTTCAGATCATAAATTCGGAAGATGTTTTGCTGATCCATATTTTAACTTTTAAAGCTTGTAAATGAAGGACAAATATGGAATATTTTTAAAGACTTGGTGGCATTGATCGCTTAGCCCCGCCGATGAGGAACCCTATCAAAAAGCAAATCACAGAGTTATATGTCGTTTACTTTCATATTTACTAAATCTTGTGAATCCTAATGCACAAGTTCTGGGAATAATTTTTAAACATGGCATAAAAAGGATCCTATCAAACAAGCCCTGGTCTATGTAGTGGTTTTTTTTTGTCTTTAGAATGTGTCCATGTACAGAAATATCAAGAATCTTCGCCATTACTAGGACATGTCAATAGTAAGTAACAGATTATCATATTTACTGTGCAAATATCCCCATATGCTTATGCATTTGTTGACTTTATACCTGGGACAGTGTATATGATATACCTCTGGCATCATGACCATTACTTAAAAAATGTAATGATTACATTCCATTACCATTATCCATTACCATTACCCCAGCCCTGACAGACCATAGTCTAATCTTTGTTGCAGATTACTCTTATTTTGAATGTTCAATTATTTTAGGTAGTTACATTGATGATAATTCTATGCAGGAGACTACATCATTTAGACAGCAGCTTGAGTTTCTTCTAACGTCTAACGAACGATTACAGTTAAAACAAATCTTACAGCATTATGAAGAAAATAAGTAAGTTATGGCTTTTTTATACACCCTCACTTTCATGTGGATGTATATTGTCCTCACCCCTGTCCGTCTGCCCATCTTGAAGTCTGTGCACAATTTGTTTGAGGACAATCTACAGGTCACATTATCCGGTTTTGACAAAACTTGAAATATAGGTTTATCACCAAAAGATCCCAGTTCCTTTTGATACTGGCATGTATTGGATCAAAACTTCATGAATTATGGCCCCTGATCGTACGAAAAATCACATTTTTAGCTTGTGGACACTCTAGAGGTCACAATTTTTATCCAATTTTGATGAAACTTATAATGTTTGTTTATAATCCAAAGATCTCGGTTCCTTTCAATATTTGCACACATCAGACCGCAACTTCCAGGATGATGGCCCCTGATTGTATGAAAAATCACATTTTTAGCTTGTGGACACTCTAGAGGTCCCATTTTTTATTCGATTTAGAAGAGACTTGACAACCTAAAGATCTCGATTCCTGTTGATATTCGTGCATATCGGACCACAATTTCCTAGATTATGCCTCCTGATTGTACGAAAAATCACATTTTTAGTTTGTGGTCCCCCTAGACTTCACAATTTTTATCTGATTTCAATATGTTTGGAGATATGAAACCTTGTAGACGATATATAGAGCAGAGTTTTTAAGCTCAGTCAGATAGTTCATTAGGTTAGGAAGAACCCTATACTATTATCCCATTGTTTACATTCAAATTAATAAAATCATACTGTGAAATACTGTACAGAATTCAATAACTTAGCAAGATTGTTCATTGGGGGATAAGAAAGGACAAGAACACTCATGTAAATTTTTTAATCTTATATTTTGCATATGGTTGGCATAATATGTTGACTTATGTTTTAATATAGAGATGTTCATACAATGTTAGAAGAGACGGAAATAATATTAGATACACCTTCGAAACGCAGTTTATGGAAATATATCCTACCATTAATACAGACAGACCATCAAATGATAGTTAGACAGAGGCTATTATATCTACAGAAATACTCAAGTATGTTCAAAATATATATATATCTATAGTTAATCACATTTACTAGGTTGCCTCATGTCTCCAAATCTTAATTCTAATTTAATTTGAGTTAGCATGAATTTGTTGAATTTTTAATAGAAACTAAAATACATATATGTATTCAATGATTTCTTCTGTAATAAGTAGTGGCATTACAAATTGTAAAGCTGAAAGAAGTCGTAGCATTACAAATGGTAATTGGTGATTGGTAACCCATAGATATTTGACTTTTGGTTATAGTCTAATTTTCTCTATCCCTTTAGTGTCCCAACCAGTATCACCTCTACCCAGTGATTCTTATATAGGTTCAGAAGATTATAATGATGATAATAAACCTCAACTTATACATGGATTTACTTTTGGTAAAGGCTTTCTATACTTTATAGATATGTTTTATGCTATGCTTCTGATGTTGACTGTAACTTTATCCCTCCAACCCCAATTTGATAATAACTCAATTGATCATGAGCGTACTTATCATAGAATCATGTATGTAGTAGTTATTAGCACACTTTCCGAGGTGTATTGGTGAAGATACCAAAACTGTCCTGATCTTCACCGATACACCGACGAAAGGTGCTAATAAGTCACTTTCATCACATTTCTATCGAGTATTGTGAAGCGAAATGTGAAAAATTGTATTTATTATCGAGTCGTGTCAAGCGAAATGTGACAAATACTTTCTGCTCTTTCATTTATCCCTTTCTGTGCCTCACGTTACATTTCGTGGTAGACTGATTTTGCAGTGGAGAAATGACCTGAGTAGTATTTACACGTGAGTCTTGCTGCATTACCCTGAGTGTTATACAGTCACATGTTTCTTTTTAGACTGCACTCCGTATTGAAAGACGAAGTTGTTTTGACAAAGTCGGTGAACATAGAGCCTACCACATCGTCAAAACAACTTGTCCCTGGTGTAGAGGACTGCAATTATATTAAACGTTATGTAAAGGACACTGCACAACGTGGGTCAATCATGGTGAAGTGTGCATCGGCGGATGGTTCGTCCGTTGAAATTTATTTGTAATAAAATTTATGACTTTCTAGGCGTTTGTTTTCATCCTGCTTATTTTCAATGCTTGTATAAAAGTGTTTGTTTGTCGGAAATGAACAGTACTCTTTCTGGAAAGTGTACTGTTAATTTTTGATACACGGATGCTTTTATGCCTGCATTAGAAATAAACAGGATAGTTTTATCAAAGGTTGCCACTGGCAACGAGGTAGAAGTGGGATGTAACATTTAATACATGACGTAAGTGAACTCGCAAAGCCATAGAGCCATCCAGACAAAGACACAAACGAAAATCAAGACATTCACATAGACTCCAATAAAATGTAGAGAAACCGCACTGACATTGTAAGCCATTAAAAATTCTAGTGAATGTCACATTTGTTTTTGTGCCACCCTTGTAAAGGTTTCAGAAGATGCACTCAGTTTCCATTCATTGATTCTTCCCCAAATTATTATTTTTACTTCATATATTGTTGTATATAGGGGTTTAAGTTGATACATGTATCTTGTTCAATTAGTTATGGTTTTATATTTTAAAAATGATATTCCTAAAATCGATATTTGTGTTTGCATATATTATTTTGATTATACACTTTCAGGAGATTCAAAAGTCATCAAAGAAAAGGTGGAATTAGTAAGTTATAAATCATTGCAAAATGTTTGTTGGTATTTGACGTTAGTTGTAAATAATATGTGTCAAAAGCACCGCAGCAATACTTCAGAACAGTTATATACCCTCTTTTAGACCACCTGATACATTTGAGAGAGCCACATCAAATTAAATAAAATGGGGTTTAATGTCCTACTTTACTGCAGCGACTGGGCTAATGAAGACGTGCATACACCTTACAGTGGGGTATGAGGGAAAATTTGTCTGGATAGCGACTCTACGGCCTACTCTTATTTCATATTCAGCTTTCAAGGGTTCTTTTACGTGCATACCAATATGCACAGGACCTTGGTTTTTCGTATCATCCAAATGACTAGACACTGTTCCTTGCAGCAACAATAAGGAGAAACAATGCCGGATTATCCGAAATGTTCTCGGCCAACACTGGGAGCGAACTCGAGACCTGGTTTCCCAAGAGACATCCACATGGCTAAAACATAAATTCTGTTCTACTTTTGCATTATATGCTAAAATGACTTTTTTTTAAATTCTTGTATGATTAATTTTCCTTCATAGATGTCTGGGTCATCCTCTGAAGAAGAAAAAGAAAGTAGCACAGCCTCAGAATCATCTCCACGAGAAAGGTTAAAGGTCAGAAGTCACAGTAGATCAGACCTGAGGTCAGCAGATAAAGCATTAGTGAAAGAATTAGAAGAAACACGAAAAGCCATACAAGAAGCAAAAGATGCCATCATAGGGAGAGGGCAACAACTGCATGAGGGTAAATATTATAAAGTTATACATGCCAGTTAATATTTTAACAGAATTAATGTTGAAAACCTGTTTTCTTATAATGGCACATATATTTGTATATAATGAATGTTACTAAATTTTATTCTTCAGAAAAAAAGAAGAGTAAGTATATTCAAAGTGAACTTATAGGATGAATAGCTAGTTCTGTAGGATTTTCTGTTTATACCCCATGTCCAACTATGACTTGATTTTTTTTAGCTCATTAGGCTATTGGTTCAGAGGTCTTAATTTATCACTTCTATTCCTTGTCCACCTGCATGTCCATCCGATCAGCATAAACATTAGTCATTTCATTAATTTCCTCATTAAAGAGAAATTAAAATTTAAAATTTGTTAAAATGAGCTGGCTTGATATTATAGTTTTGGGCAAATTCAGGCATTTTTTATCTCTGCTTTAAAAATGCTTGAATGATTTTGAAAATTAGTAGCACGTTGCTCAATGTTGCGGTTATTTAAATTTGTTCAAATATAGTGCTAGCCTTTACAGTGGTGGAGCTGTGTTCTCTGGGTTGTGTTTATTCAGATTAGTTCAGACTACTTCAAACTGTCTTGCTTTGTCCCATGCAGCCAGGACAGGGGCAGTTTGAAAGAGCATATATTGATATATTTTTTACTTAATATATCGGGGGGTTGGATGGCTGAATGGTTAGCGTGCGCGCGCTGTATCATAAAGTCTGTAATTGAGTCGACTGGCGTGGTTTCGAATCCCCGGTTGTACGTGGCAAGGAGTAGGGTCGCCTGTCCAGCCTCGTGGGTTTTCTCCGGGTCCTCCGGTTTCCTCCCACTGCTAAAGACCCCTACGCGCAAGCGAATTATTGAAATAAAAATTAAACCATATGTTAGTCCCGAAATGACCTAGTTTGTGTCGAGTGTACGTTAAACCCCATTTCTCTCTCTCTCTCTCTCACTTAATATATCTACAATCTACAAAATTTTGTTCATATCATGATATGACTTTCTTTGGTGTTTTTGAAAATATTTGACTGTCTCTTTCATTTAATCAAGAAAGAACAAAGATTTTTTCTTGTACACATTCATATTCTTACTAAACAAAATATGCACACATACTCTTAACCCATGGACGATTATGGCTCTTGGGGCCCTTTATTTCCAGACCATTTTATTTAGTTGTTCCTGTTTGAGGTTTTTAAAGAATTTATTTTTGATTAACACTAGTTTTGTTTTTCAACCATACTTTATTTTCTAGAAAGTACAAGCTTAGATCATTGACGTTTTTATAGTAAATTGTAAAACCATATGGTGGCACCTCTCTTTACGCCTAACATACTTTTTTTAAATAATACCCCAAGCTGTTTCGATTTCATTTTATAAAGCGTATGCCATCAATGCTATATAAAACTTGAACTTTATAGTTATAGTAATGTCAAAACATGATCTTAACAAATACTAGAAAGCTATCAGTTTATCACAGTACATCTTCACTAGTCATGTAATATAACATGAATCACATCACGTGGTAGTTCTATACAGTATGATACACACATTTCTTCAAACTGGATTTTTATGCTTCTCAGTGGTTCTAACTTTGAATTTCTAAGCTTGTCAGTGGAATATATTATTTTTGATTTTCATATTTATTTTTCAGAATTTGTTGAACCTGTTGAAGAAAGTGATAATAAACGTTACGTAACGATTATACCTGTTGGTTACCCAGGTTTAGATGGACGACCATTTTACAGCAAAGAAATGAATTCCCCGGAGTTTAATCGTATCCGAAAAATGTCACCAAATCCTACCACAGTTGCTGCAGGTAGAAAGAAAATGGACATTAGTAGTTCAGAAAGTGACACAGACTTTGAATCCAGAAAAAGCTCATTAGTACGACCTGGACATTTTGAATCGAAAAAAATAATGGTGCGACCAGGTGATTCATTCAACGAATCTGCTCTAACAGCCCTAGAAGAATTGGATGCTGTTATGGCTGCTGAGACGTCAGATTATGATTCAGAGAATAGACTAGGATCATCTATAACTATAAATGGTAGTAATAATCACACCAGTCATAGTTATAGTCCTAGACCAAATGTAAGGACTGCACCCCCGGCTCCTCCTGCACCACCACCACCACCACCAGGTAAATATTAATTTAAATTTCAGATCAACATAACACAGATCCTATTTGGTTTCATTTTCTTGGTTTTATTTAAGTAAAGACATAAACCAACGACATGCTCTGATGGGTAGGTAAAATGGCGGTTCGCTCTTTGATCAGGGTCGTGAATAAAATTTTATATGTTGAATTGTTTTGTGCGATGACCTCCATAGATAAAGCCAATGCTGTTACATGATTGATTGTTTGCTTCTGTGTCAACACAGTAACTAACAAATGAAACTAAAACTAGTAATAAACAAACCAACTTCCAGTAAGATTTTTGCAGAGCTTATTGGAAACCGATATCTATATTGTTGTGAACAGTCATCTCATGATGTTTTAGACTAGTTGTAGAATGAAAAAGGAAAGAAACTTTAGATTTGTATATAACCATTTATTCCTGATGCAGTAATAATAACTGTATATTGAATGTTGACGTCTTATTTGTGAAACACCAATCCTAATTAATATAGATACTTATTATATTTTGATATTATGTTTGATACAGTGTTGAGTGTATGTAGGCTATGAATTATATTTTAGCTCCTCCAGCACCTAAACCTTTTACAGGTGGCTCAAACCAAACAGTACAGATGAATGTGAAAAGAATTAACTGGGAAAAATTAAATTCTAACAACGTAAATAATACTGTTTGGCAACAGGTAAATATATATCTCTTGTAAAAGCAGTAGCAACAATGTAAGTAATATAGCTTTGCAGCAGGCATATCTTGTACCAATGATTTGGTGGACAGGTAAAAGGATAAAATGATGATTCTGGGTTGGACGAAATAAAACTTGATCCAATACAAGTATGAATTTTTATAAAAACTTAATTTGGACATTTAATATTATTTATTGTGTCTGTAAGCTTTCTTCCAAAAATTTGAATGTTTCAGCTGGATGATTCTGAGTTAAATGATATTGTTAAGTATTTAGAACTGGATCAACAGTTTAGTACAAAGTCTGTTAAAACAGGTAATTCACATCCATTATTAATATTGAAAATGCACAAATCTATTTGATATAACTTATAAAAGCTAAACCCTTTAGCACCTGGACTGCCCCAAACCACTGTAACCCCTAATGGCCCAAATCACAGGAATAGCTGCTGTGCCCTCAAGAACTAGTATATAGGCCTTCAACAAGGAGAGCAATTTGCATATCTCGTGCTATCTAGTGAAAAGTAGTTTGATATACTGGTATGAAATATATAAGGATCCTAGTTAGTCAATATTTACATCCATGTACAAATTAGCCCACTAAATGGTTAATTAACTATACAGACAATCAATTCGAATGAAGAATGAGATTTCACAACATGTTGATACTGGGTAATTTATATTTTTCTTGAATTTTTTTTTTTTTTTTTAAGGAATTGGAGAAAAGAAACCAGAAATATATATTTTAAGCCCCAAAAAATCTTATAATATATGTAAGTACAATACAAATCAATTGTTTTTGAACAAAGAATGAACTACCTACATTCTACATGTTTATGTAGACGTGCACTATTAAATATCAATTTCATATTGTTGAGCTATTAAATTTATGCTGTTGCTTGTGGGACTAAAGTTGTATAGCTCCTGAAATGTTTTATAGCCTAGTTATAAGCAAACAGTGCATGTTGCCATACAAAATGAAGCACATATCATTTTTGTCCCCCGCCTGTCCGTCACACTTTTTGGGACACAATAACTATCCTTCTAATTGAGCAACAATGTTCAAACTTGGTGTAGGTGTTTATTAGGTCAATGCCTTGATGGAGTTCGAAGATGAGCATTTTCTGTTTAGGATAAGCAGAGATAAGCAATTTAATTGATTGATGCTTTGGGACACGATAACTTTAGTTCTAATTAAGTGAGAGTGATGAATTTATTAAATTTATGCTGTTGCTTGTGGGACTAAAGTTGTATAGCTCCTGAAATGTTTTATAGCCTAGTTATAAGCAAACAGTGCATGTTGCCATACAAAATGAAGCACATATCATTTTTGTCCCCCGCCTGTCCGTCACACTTTTTGGGACACAATAACTATCCTTCTAATTGAGCAACAATGTTCAAACTTGGTGCAGGTGTTTATTAGGTCAATGCCTTGATGGAGTTCGAAGATGAGCATTTTCTGTTTAGGATAAGCAGAGATAAGCAATTTAATTGATTGATGCTTTGGGACACGATAACTTTAGTTCTAATTAAGTGAGAGTGATGAAACTTGGTGTACAGTTTCGTTACATCAATACCTTGGCTAAATTCGATAATGAGACTTTTCTGCTCAGGGTAAGCAGAGCGATAAACAATTTGATTGGCTGCGACTTTGGAACACAATAACTATCCTTTTAATTGAGCTAGAACATTCAAATTTGGTGTAGGTGTTTATTAGGTCAATGCCTTGATGGAGTTCGATGATAAACATTGTCTGCTTATGGTATAAGCAGAGATAAACAATCTGATTGGTTGATGCATTGGGGCACAATAACTTTAGTTTTAATTAAATGAGAGTGATGAAACTCTGAGTATATTGATTCATTATATCATTACCTTGACTAAGTTCGATGATGAGACTTTTCTGCTTAGGCTAAGGAGCGATAAGCAATTTGATTGGTCAAGGCTTTGGAACATAACAACTCTGCTTCTAATTGAGGTACAATGTTTAAACTTGATGTAGATGTTCATTAGATGAATGTCTTGACTGAGTTCAATGATTAACATTTCGAGCTAAAGCTAAGAAGAGCTAAGCAATTTCATTGGTTGATGCTTTGGGACAAGATAACTTTGATTCTATCTGATAGAGAGTGATGAAACTAAGTGTATAATCTATAATCAGTTTTTAATTGCTTGATACTTTTGAAAAAAATAAATGTGCTATTACATGTAATTAATATGTGTCATCTATTTATATTGGGATTTCGGCGGGGAACATAAGCCTCACTGTTGGCTTGTCAGAACACCCATTGATTGACTCTTTGTATGTTCTCATCACCTGTATTTCCTTACCACGATTTTCCAGGAATTTTATTTGACAAAATTTTAAAAAGAAAATCTCTCTTTTATTATAGCTATTTTACTTGCTCATATGAAGATGTCAATAAGTGAGATGAAACAAGCTATGTATTTGATGGATGAAGAAATACTTACACCAGAATTACTCAAACAGTTACTGGCTTATTCTCCAAATAAACAAGAGGTACATTTATTTTAATATTTTATATATAAAGGGTGCTGTCCAAAACATGATCAACCCTAATAAAACCTTTTCTTGTTCTACAACAGTTGTGTTTTACAATGCAAATTAAAAGTTAATACAGAATCAGTGGTATAATATAATCAAATTTGATTTGATATTTTTAAAGAATTTGCTAGAACTTCTTCAAAATTTGCATGTTATTGTTGGGTGAATTTTGAAAAAGAGGATTTTATATAATATTACTTTTAAGTAATCTAATAATACTTTTTTATATGCCATTAATTTATTTTATGTTATTATGAAAGGTGTTTTGTAGTTTTGTTAGATTCTGTTGTGAAAGGTTAGGTATTAATATTTCAGATAGAACAATATGATAAATTTAAAGGTGATTTTGAAGGACTTAGTAAAGCAGACCAGTTTGCTTATGAAGTAAGTCAGTTATATATTTTGATATTTGTGATGTATAATTATTATAGTAATGCATGAAATAAATTAAGGTCAACTATCAACAAGACTAAATCTTAATTAAAATTAGATCTTTATTTTGTTCCGATTTGGATATTTTGTTAGTCTACCGTACTCTTTGTTATCAGTTCTCTTTGGAATTTGAATTGAGGCACTGGCACGATGTTTGGCTTAAACCATTATATCTTTTCACTGACTAAGTCAGTTGTCAAGTCAGGTCAGATCAACACAAACATTTGAAAGACGTTTTTACATCCTTGTGTATTGTAAATATAAACAACATGAAAAAGAAAGGGAAGTATATATTTTAATTGGACCAACTGCTACAAAAGATGTCCTTTTCAAAATAGTTTTGGATGGAAAATGAACACATCAACTGTGTAAACTAAAAAAAAAAAATTTGTATTTATGAATATTTGTATTAATAAATTATTTATAGATGAGTCAGATACCGAACTATGAACAGAGATTAAAGGCCATGTTGTTTAAAGCTAACTTCGAAGAGAAAATAACAGAAATGAAAGAGGTAAGTTATAATTATAAATAATGGGAGATTAGATAAAGAGTTGACAGTTCTTGCTATAATAGTTAAAAAATAGATAATGTAAACAGAATATGTTGAAAATGTCAGTCAAATTGCTCCACTCTGAACCGAAATATTAGCTTTTGAATTTTAGGCTAGCCTTGATCATCATTACTTAAGTCTGTACAATAAAAACCAAAGTCTTGATTATCCATTTTACATTTAATTATCCTTCACAAAATCTATTCCAATCCGATAAATATTGTAGGCTAGCTATGGCATCGAGAGTTGATTATGGTTTGGATAAGTTAATGTCTAATTAATAATTTAGATTACATTTCAGGCCTAAAAAAGACCTGTAATAGGCAGACCCGCTCTTGCATAATGTATTTTTAATTTATTATGTGTCCCTAACTGTTTGTTTGATTGACAGTGAATTCTAATTTTAAAATGATTATTTATTTATAGCACTTGAGATGTATCAAGTCAGCATCGCAGGAGCTGCATTTAAGTAAAAAGTTGGCTAAAATTCTTGAGGTTAGTTCATGTTTTTCTATCCACTTATGGAAATTTTACTGAAATATTGGTATATTGCAGACACCTGTGTCTGTCTGTTGATTTGACACTACGGATAAGTTGGTGATAATTTAAAATAAAAACATCTTGCATGTTATTAAAATTAATACTATCAAAATTTGCTTTTCTAATTTGTGGACATTGCCAAGAAAATGATTAGTAACTTGAAAATAAAAATGGTTAATAAATATATCTCTCGAAATACATGATTTATATGTGTATTTTTTTTCAGCTAATCCTAGCTATGGGAAATCACATGAATAAAGGTAATCAGAGAGTTGGTGATGCTACTGGATTCAGAATAACATTTTTATCACAGGTATAATAATACTGTTAAATAATAATAGATCAATGTTGGCATTAAATAACAAGTAGAAATTACATTATATAATTTAGGTAAATTTGGGTCAGGGAGTAAAATCCGTAACATAATATTTGTACACATTTATAAACGAAGAGAGCTACCCATATGTTGTAAAATATACTGTTAGAAATTTTGGTAAAAAGCTAAATGATTAATTAATAATCAAGCATTATTAAATCATTTTTTCGTATTTTTCTATTATCAACAGATTGACATTACAAAGACATCTAATAATAAATCAACATTCCTACATGTATTAGCTGAAGCTGTTTATAATAAATTTCCTGATGTATTAACAATAGGAGATGATTTAGTTCATGTTCCAGAAGCCACTAAGGGTAGGTTTTATATTTATTGAAAATAGGATTTAGTGTTTTTTGTTTAATTTTATTAATTAGTCCTCTACCAGCGAAACTAGAGGGACTTCGGTTTTCACTTTGTCTGTCATTCCAGCCATATGTCCATCTGCCTGTAACTAGTAACTTTGAAATATTTGATACATAGGATTTTGTGATTTTTTTACTGAATCAATGAAAATTCTGTTTTTCGGATTTGTTTTAGTTTAAACTTTGTGTTTTAAATTTGTACTGAATTATGGCCCCGAACTGAAAATATTGTTTCAGAGATTTTTATAAGGTCAAACTTTCTGGTATTTGATTGAACTACGGTATTAGTACACTGTTTCAGATAGTAGAGATATACAGGCCAATTCAGTGAAAATTCAGGTTCACATAATTTATTTCTTAAAGGTGCACACCTTATATATATTATTGGGAATATTCACAGTATATAGTTTTTCTAAAACTTTGATGTTTAATTTATTTCTTGGGGAATATTTTTTGATAATTTTTAATTTGTAGTGTCAAATACATCCTTGAATCAAGAATTACAAGAGCTAAGAAAAGTTCTTCAGGTATTATTTTATTGTGTTTTATAATTTTAAAGTTTGAATCTATAGACACTGTCTAACAGAACAAAACATAATATCTATCTGATTTCCATGATTGTATTCACACTGAACAAAACCGTGGATGATTCACAATGAGACTAATTGTGATTCACAAAATCAGAGTTGGCAAGCCTTTTTAGGGTCCATGTGATAAATATTATTTTTACATCTTCAGTAAGAGAAGGGGGAGAATTACAATTAAAGAGAGTTACACTATAGTCATTATTATTATTAGATGCAATGTGCCATTTGGAATGATCCAGTGTGTCACATGTTCACCACCCCTGATATAGATGTCTAAATCAATATATACATGAAATTAAAATGATTTATATATGTCTGTATACACAATGTTATTTCAGGATATATCTGATACTTTGGAGAAATTCAATGGACATAAACATGTTATAGGAACTATTGATAGATTTCAAGAAGTTATGGGTGTATCCTTTTATCAGATCATTTCTATAGATTTACAGTATTTATCGGATTTTGGTTTGAATCCACCCTACTGTCAAATATGTTATGTTATGTGAAAACTAGAAGCTATCCCAAGACTTGCACTAAACTTATCTATTGGGAGTTCGATTTAAAAAAAAACTTATTTATAATATTTATTAGACATAGAGACATGTACAACTTTATCTGAATCATTTTTCAGACATCTATGCCTGTCTTGACCGCTTGGTTTAGGAATTGACCGAAATTCCTTGGATCCCATTGAACAAATAACACTGGCATATTTTTCAAAACTCCATTCTCAAATATGGCTATGATCAGCCTCCACCACAGAGTTACGACATTCAATGGCTTGTACAGATTAGTGCACACATTTTGATGCCGTGTTAGTTCATGATTATAGCATAGAATAAAATATAGCCATCAACACAGGATTATACTAAGAGATTTGGTAATAATTAATGATGAATGTCTGATAGCAGAACGATAATAGTTAAAATTGGTATGTTGAGAATCTTATCAATGGTGAGAATAGGTCCATTGTTTGTACATGTATCACAATTTAAAGATAGGAAGTTGGTTATGTTCCTTAACTGTACAAGCATTTTATAGCAGAAGCATCAGATGAACTCCAGGAACTATTCCAATTACAGGCAGCTACTATGGAAGAATTTTCTAATATGGTTCAATACTTTGGTGAAGATCCAAAGAAGATTGATACCAGTGACTTATTTGGTATATTCACTGATTTCATTACAAAATTTGAGGTAAGGAATATATAATTACATCTCTTCCTATCTGTAATTTTAGGCGAAGGCCAGTGTTCTCCGAAAGCTCAGTCAGCATTGTGTTACTGCTGCTGACACAGAAATATTCTAGTTTTGCCCCTTCTTACCAAAGCAATTGAACTACAGTAAAATGTAGTAGTAGTAATGCCCTGGTAACAAAATATATTAAATATTTGTTATATCTAACTTTATTATAGGGTAGAATTTGCTTTAGTTTAAACTTATGGACTATATTTTCTTTCAGTTTGTCTCAACACAGAAAATATTACAGGATATTTTTTACATTGTGATCTTTTCAAATATTTAAGCAAATTAAAAAAACTAAGCATAAGGGTTTTATTATTTTTCTTGACTTGAATTATTGTGGTTAATTGTTTTATTTTATTTTCAGAAAGCACACAGACATAATATGATGTACAAGAGACATTGATTGATACACAACAAGAGTTAATATCATGTATCTTCAGCATATCATTAGTTTTCCAAAAGATTGAAAACCGGAGGATTCAGCTTGTTATATATATACATATATATGTAACCTCCATTTGGAGTTGGGAATCTTCATAAAGCATTTTAATTTGATTGATCATTATCAATAACAATTAATAATTCTACCATCTCCGAACCAACAGTTATTTTATGATAATCAAGTATGTGTTTTTGGTCTATAGGGTAGCAAAATACATACACCATTTAATTTGGTAGTAAGTTAAATGGTGATAGCTCACTGTGTCGGCTTCTATAATGTATGGAGTAGAACAGTAGGATATTAAACCCCATTTCGTTTCATTTCTATAATGTAAGTGCTGTCAGATGTGGTGAGTAATATTGCGATAAGCCGTTACACATAAATTATATTGTCAATGATTATCCCGGCCAAGGCAATAGAATAACCAATGGTGATTATCACTGATTAATTGGATGGTAAACGATGAACCTGGTAACAAAACCACCATTCTTTCCCCTACTACAATGTTCCATCTATTTTAATGCTCTTCAGAATTGATATGCAGCAAAGTGAAATCAACAGACCCATGACAATTATTTTAATAGATAGCTATTCTGTGAGTTAATTGTTCTAGTTTCTATAGAAATAGGTGATGCAGCATTTTGTTTATATTTTGCCATACGAATATTTGACTCGCATGCTTTATGATAACACAATTATGATCTCTAAAACACAAAACATAACATACTGAGACACAATAGAAACACACCACTTTTATAAATGGATGATTATAATTTTCATTTGAGAGATACACTTTCATCTTGTTATTCAGATCAGGTTGTTTTCACAATCTCATCCGAAAAAAATTGAATTCAAAAGAATGGGAAGTTGAATATGGTGCAGATATAATTACCACTCTACTCTTCTGTGGAAGACGCCAAGATTACCGAGGTTGATACAGCATCGTTGCGTTAATTCAAGAGGGCGTGATTACCAGAACAACTGGAACTAGTATTGCATCCCATTCAGTGTCTTATCTCCTTCATGCGTCGACATTGCATTGCGTGTGTGGCTTGAGTTGCATTATGTCTCTCCAGCAGATCCAGTTGAGACTGTGGTGCGTTTTTCATTGTGTCTAGCTATGTATAAAGCTGTATAAGGTATTATACATAGAGGATATTTGTCGTTTTAGAGTGAATAACATATTTTATTTCATCGAGAATCAAGAAAACTTATATTTTCACGAATGCGTAGTATGAGTGAAAATATAAACGTTTTCTTGCTTAGAGATGAAATAAAATATGTTATTCACGACAAAACGACAAATGTTCGATTTATTTTATGATTTTACAATCATTTTAGGTAAAAACAACATGGACTACTTTGTCCGCTTCTAGCCAGTGGAATAACACTTTTATTTCACTGATAAAACGCGGTATTCCACTACTGATCATAAAATAAATGTGTTTATTTGTTATTTAATTTATTTATTATTTAAGTTGTAATATTGTTATAAGACTTTTAAGTATTGTTTGTCACTTTAATATACATATAACTTAATGATTCTAACATTAATATGTATTCATTTTTTCTAAAAAACATATTGTGGCATCCATTTGCTTTTGACATTTAATTGGGTGAGATGTTTAATAATTTATTATGTTTTTTTTCTTGACATTGTACATGTAGCCCAATCACATATAATATGGATGAATTTTTTTTCAAATTTTACACACGCTTAATTTTTATGTGCCATATTATTATTTTTTGTTTTGTTTATGGGAAATGCAAAATGCAATAAATTTATCGGAAATGCAATAAATTTTATTGAATAAACTCCTTTTGCAAAGAAAGATTTTTGCTGTAGCTTGCATAGGCTTTTAAATAAAGTTTCAAACTGTTTAACACGTCAGATTTATGGCTGGTATAGCACACTGTTCTAGATTTACAGCCTACTATTTTCATTGGTTACCGAGGAGTTGCCTTGTTGGCCGAGGGATTTCCTCAGGATTTTCGGGAGTGGTTTCCACTTGTCAGTGGGCTAGGGCCTGACAAGGAAGGAGGACGGAAGACTGAGATGTCGTGTATACCTTGTTGCTTGTCATGTACGAGGGCTGGCTGAAAAGTTCTAAGCCTAAAAAGGATAGATCATTTGGGTTAAAACAAACTTTTGCCACCAAGAAATACAACCATTGAATGAACCATAGACATAAGAAGTGAAACTGTGTTATTATTGTCTTCGTACCAGACCATCTTGTGAGCTTACCAGAAATGGACAAAACAGGCTATAGGGCAATCATCAAGTACCTGCAATTGAAAGGACAAACCTGAACACAGATATGCCGACATGGTCTCCACTTTAAGGGGTGATGTCCCTTCCTTTTCCATATAAAAAGGAACTACTTTTTTTTTTATTAAAAAGGAACATCTTAATTACCATAAACAATTACATACTCTCCATAACCTAAAGGAATCACCGGGTCAATATATAGGACTTTGCAACGGGTGACTTGCTGTCAAAAAATGATGAAATCAGGTTCATTAAAATTAAATCTATGCCAAAGAATTATATCTATGTATTTGTGCGCATAAGAAAGGGTTTGGTGATAAATAAAATCTCCTACTCGCCTTTTTTGATATAAAAAAAATGTCAACACTCGTCGATAAAGACTCGTAGGGGGTAGGCCTAATCTATATCCCATTCTCATGTTGATGGTTTAAGAACGGTGAGAGAAAAGCTCAACTCAAATTTGCCACGAAATCTTGAGCAACACTAACTGTTCACACAGTGTTATAATATTACCTGCACTGTGAAAGGTTTACGTCACTTCATACGACATAATAAGACCACTTTTCAGTTTATGAAAAACAAAACCAGATGTATCGAACTGTAGGTTAAGTATAAGGTTTTTGGGAGATAGGCCTATGCATTAGCTAACTATAGGCTACTAGTAGCATAATAGTGTCAATAGACTGCAATATTAGTATGTGGATATAAATGACTTTTTAAAAGAAATTCCACCCTGGGAGTAACAACGCTTAGTTAAAGGACAATATTGGTGCCAGTCATTATCACATGTGATAGAGCTGGTTAAACACATTCCAAATATAATTTTAACACAGAGATCATTGCTACGATAGCTGAGTAATACAGGTTTCCTGAATGGGAAGTGACGAACGCCAAAGGAAAACACGAGTCAATCATACCTCTATATAACTGACTGAAGTGATAACAGATACACGGTCGAATTTGTGCTCACTAATAATTCCTTCGAAGACCAAAAGTTGTGTGAGACTGTGAGGGGATATCTGACAATTCATAAAAAGAAATGACTGCCACTAGATAAGAGAACACGAAAGAAAAACAGAAAAAGTCCGTGCATTACCATGTATATGTTTTTATAAGGTATAGAATGAATATAAACAAGGGAATGTACGGAGTATTTCTATTTTTCTCGTGTTCTCTTATCTAAAGACATTCAATTACTTTATTGAATTGTCAGGTATCATCTTACAGTACAATATAGCAACTTTTGGTCTTGGAAGGAATTATTAGTGAGCAGAAATTCGGCCGTGTATCTGTTATCACTCGTCACATCAGTCAGTTATATAGAGGGATTACTCGTGTTTTCTTTCTTCCGACGCAGGAAACCTGTTTTACTCAGCTATCGTAGCAATGATCTCTGTGTTAAAATTGTTTTTTGGAATGTGTTTAACCAGTTCTATCACATATGTGATAATGACTGGCACCAATATTGTTCTTTAATTAATGAATATGGTTTTTATTTCGACCATACTGCACGCAGCGATCGATCTACATCATACTTCGAGAATTCTCAGGCGGAGCTAGCTGTAGGCCCTACATAGACAGGCAGCCTAAGTTTGGGATGTATTTCGACATTACCTCACTTTCAATAACTTTCACTCAGAAGAGTTTTAGCCAGTTCCTATCCAGTGCCGAAAAAGGTCCCCAAACCGTACATAAAAAGACAGGCCTACATTATAGCCTACAACTACAAAGCACAACAATTTTATTTTCGACAGCACATCATAAGAAAGTCGTGATTAATCAGTCTGGATAATATTCTATTGACTGGATAAGATTTATGGTTAATTAGGAATGGTCAAATTAATCTTTGAATTCTTTGAATCAATCCAGTAAATTGTCATAATTTGATGATCATACTGCACACAGCAATGCATCTACTTCATAGCTCGAGAATGCATTTCAGGCGGAGCTAACTGTAGACAGGCAGCCTAAGTTTGCAATGTCTGATGATAAGACGGGAATAAGAGTTATTGTATGACGCCATAATAGATATCACGTCATAATGATATGACGTCATCTAGCGACTACGTTAAGGAGCCCCCATACTTGACAACGAGAAAATGTTTTAACTTTTTTTCCCTGATAATGTTGGTTTGTTTTCAGGCATGTCATGTGTAAAAAGGTTTGTATCGTAAGTTCTACAAGAGACGGAAGTGAGGCCAATATTCCCTTAGGGGGTCACGGTGGCTCAGTGAGTAAGACGTTGGCTCGCCAAGCTTGAACTGCGCGGCGAAGGCGTGCCACTGGTAGAAAATTTTTGAAATTTGACAACGGGAAACGCGTTTTGCAAGCACTTCTGGGAGAAATCTAGGTATCATATTTTCCAAATTTATGCTGCTATTTTGACTATAAGACATACTACTGTACTACACAAGACACTCATGACAGGTCTGCTTAATATAATGCTAATACAATGTATTTCTATCCAAATAATAAATTGAATCTTATACATATCGAGGCATGAATACATGTATCAAAGACCATTTCACCTTAAGGTGACAGACATTTGCACGTCAGCATAATATATTTTCCTAATCGTTGTGTATGTATGATTTTTCGCGTGCGCACTCTCAATTTTTTGAGGGGATTCCGCGTGAAAATTAGAGCTCTCAGGGGGGCCCGCTTATACGGGTGGACTTATTATTGTTTAATGGGGGCCTGGGAGGACACCGTCCTCCTAAACTCCCTGCCAGCACGCCCCTGCTTAGGCCTAGTTACCAACCGTCACTCCCAGCTTCTGAATACCACGATCTCTTAATTTATTAAATGTTTTAATTGAATGTTTTTGGGTGTAGTTCAGCTACCAGTAGATCTAGGCCTAGCTACGAACTACGAAGTCAACCATTTCTTTCTTTTCTTGATCTTTTAATTAGTTTAATTCATAATATAAAAGTATAGGCCTATAGGGCCTAGGCCTAATTCTAGGGGATGGGTGAGCGATTCAAGTGTCATGTTTTCGATCATACGGTTACGCTTGTAGGCTAGTTCAGTAGTTGTAGGTGAGAAAGACTAGATCAGATGGTCGTCTGATGTCTGCCTAACCGCGTGGGTTTGCTAAGTTTTCTTGCCTCTGAAAGGAAAGCGAATTGTTGAAATAAATATTATTAATAAAGCGGATTGATAATGATCGTAGGCCTATTCAAATTAATTCATATTATTATTCTAGTAGTAGTAAAAGTAGTAGGCCTAGTCTGGGAATGACCTATTCTGTGTTCATTTCTAATTCTTGTATGCCATTATAATTAAAATAGACCCCTCTAACCTGCTGAATACGTAATTTTATTCAAAAAACATCCATTCAATAACCCTAGATTAAGATTACAAACCTCATCTCTCAACCTTCCGTGTTTCGAGATAAGAGATGGTGCTATATTGTTCCAGTAATTGACAAGATTTTTCTTCAAAACAACGATTGATTATTTTTATTTATAATATTTCTGCCACATCCAACTACATTTACAGCATATAATCCTATCTGAAACGGGTATAGATCATCGTATTTAAATTGGAGGCGTTAAGCCGTTACCATGAACATCATTTTTAAACGGGAGATGTATGACGATGTATGTCGGATAAAAACAACGCTTCATTAATTTAAACACGAATATTTGGAGTTAGGCGATAGTTGTGCCACTATACTGGCCTCTGTAAGTTTAATTAGTAAATATTACATGAATTAATAAAGAAATTGAGTTTGCCACTTGGAACCAAAGGCACCCAATCGTAGCTAAAAACAAGCACATCAGTACCGGTATATCTCGACGTTTTTAGCTACGATCTCGTAGCTACCATAAACCATGTAGCAGATTAATCTACAACGAAACTTTCTTCTCCATATTTACAGGTATTATCTATATATCTATGGATCATTGGACCCTTTGTTGTCCTAGCTTCAGTATTAAACGATGCCCAACCGACACAAGGTTAGTCAAAATCTTGCTAATAATAATAAAATATTGGGTATTTTTCTGGATTATTTCGATACGGTATTAAAGGTCAGTTTCACTGAGTTTCAGACATAGCAGTGGACGCTTACGGTTGGCCCCCGGATCTATTCACTTGATTTGATTTGTTGTTTATTTCTCAGTGTCTATGTATAGTTTGTATTGTCCGCAGGTTTGCCTTATCGGCTTTGTTTTGCGTGTAGTGCGGTTCTCACGCACTTACTATTAGAATATTCCCTTTTTAATGCCTACCTAGCTATCGAACGTCGATTTACCAGCGTGATTTGACAGTCTGTACAAGTGTAATTGGTGGAACTTGTAATGTAAGGGAAACTAGAGTTGAAAGTTTAAACCTGCTCACAAGATCCACTTAAGTTGTTCTGGTCTAAAGCTTATGCATTATCAATTTTGTCATCTGCCCAATTTTCCTATTTACGCTAGGGTAACTGTTTTCGGCAAAAGAAATAAACCTACATTATTATTAATTTATTATTATACAGCTTCGGCAGGTTGGTCACACTGGGCCGGGTGGTCACCTTGTACGAAGACATGTGGTTTTGGTCAACGTTTTCGTGCTAGAAGTTGCACTGACCCAGCTCCGAAAAAAGAC